TTAAAAAAGTAATAAAAGCAGCAGAACAGTTAATATAGTCGGTAATCTTACTTTAATACTAAATTAAACAGCTACAATTAATAAAGATATATAAACAAGAAAAAAAAAACACCTTACAACAGTTTATATAGAACAGTAGTACTTTAATAAATTAAAAAAACTTTAATATTACGCAGGCGTGTAAAAATAAGACTATTCAGGCTTCGGCTGCAAGACCTTTAAAACACGCCGGCGGGCTCACTATAGCGTATATAAAAGTAAATAATATAATCGGTTAAAGTACCCGGTTGAAAACACTAAGAATTAATATATATAATCTTTTTGGTATGGTTTTCAAGCTTTATATGTAAGAAGGATGTTGAGGATTTTGGTGGACCGGTGCGGCCGCCGGTTCGGTGTCGCGCCGGTTCGGTGTCGCGCCGGTTCGGTGTCCGATTACATTAAGGTATTGAAGCTTACAAAAGAATACAGTAGTGATATATGCTACCTACGTAGTATGTGCTGCATATTGGTGTCAGACCAAGAGACCAGCAAGAAAACAGTTCTGGTATGAGTGACCAATGTGGTAGGTATGGTTGGCTGGGACAGGCACAAAGCTTGTGATGCCAAGCCCGTGCATAAGAAGTGGATCTTCTAGTGGGGCAGTTGCCCTGCTCGAGTCCTCGACACGTCGCGCTTCGCTTCACAAGGCAGCAAGCCAGCTCCGGAAACCGCCGGAGTTCTCTTTGTAACTTAACACCACCGACAACGACCTCACATACCTTCTCACCCCCACGTCCCCAGTGTCATTTCCCCGGATGGATGTATCGTTAAAGGACCCTTTTTGGGGCCCGCAAACCTCCTACTTGAAGTAAGCTTCCCCTCAACAATCACCTGATAACTGCCGTAACTCACCCGCTGTAGCTTCTGTGAAGAGGTACAGTACATGATCCTATGAGCCATGGATCCTTCAGAAGGGCAGAAACTCATGCCTCAGACTGTAGGACTATGTCGTCACTCGCTATGTGGCCGAGTTCATCAACACATGCAGCAGCCTTATCTACAGTGCGTCCAGGCTCAAATCAAGGGGCAACATGCCCAGCAGTCTGATGCCCGCCAGCTAACAAGACGCATTGCCACAAATCCGCAGTCCTCTATGGCATCTACGGCCTGAGCCAGCTTCGATCCAAGCCCTCTGCATCCTTCGCCCGGGCAATCCCCTGGTTCGGTCTGATGGGCGTGGGGATCTGCTCGGCCGGGTACCACATGACCCTGAAATACCACACGCAGATGTGTATGTCAGCTGACCTGATCAACTGCATCCCTTTACCCAAAGACTGACCGTGCTGGAATCCAGCGGACGAGCTCTCGATGCATTTGTTGACCACACCCCTGGTGTATCGGGTTCTCACGTTCCAGGTGAACCCGCAGTGGCGTCGCCTCATCGGCATCGCGCTCGTCCTTGAGTTCACCACTGTCATGGTCGTCCACATGGTCATGGACGAGTTCCTGCTTCACGCCGTGACCTTCGGAGCAGGGGCGTTGCTCATCGCGCGACGGACCATGCAGATCATCTCGCATCAGATCCCCAACCCGGTGATCAAGCAGAAGACCCGCAACATTGGGCGGTTCGGTATCTGTAAGCTCCCCCCCCCCAATATCCTTCGAAGGAAATATCCCCCACTTTTGACGGATCCTGACAGGGGCACAGTCTGTTTCCTCTTCGGCTATTTTGCCTGGCTGGTCGATGTGTGGGCGTGCAACCACCTGACCCGCGTCAGGGAGCTGGTCGGCGCGCCGGTCGCATTCTTCTTGGAGCTGCATGGATGGTAAGTCATTCCACCTTCTGCAGGCTCTTGTGTTTGTCAGCCATCGAGACGGGAGATTTGCGAAAGATTTGCCCTTTTCTTAACCGGACCAACTAACCTTCCAAATCGGGTAGGTGGCACTTCTTTACGGCCATCGGTGCCTATGTCGCCGTCGCGGTGGTCGATATGATCACCTCGGGCGAGGTGCACACCGACCCCTCGCCCCAGCTCGCCTGGCCGGTCTCGCTTGCCGCCCGGCTGATGGGGCCTGCTGAAGCGCAGTCGAAGAAACAACATTAGGGGGTCGTGTTTTCTTCTTATCAGTCGAGACGTGAGCGGGCGAGGTGCTTCATGTGATCGTGGTGTATACATTAGACGATAAAGTCAGCTTGGGACGGCGGCTTGTTTATGGTGGCATGCGTCCGTGGCAGCTTTTTGGGGGTGGTGAAGGTAGGGTGTCAAAGATAGGTCTGAGGATATCGGCGGAGAATTTCCGTCCAGATGAGAGGGAAAGCTCTTGTGTGTCTAGTGTATTCACTAGTTCCAGTGCAACTGAATAAATGTCAGCCTGATAGAAGCATAGGCTTTTGAACCCTTATCACCAATTCGTCGATTTTCTCGATTATGCAATTCTTGGGGCGGGAGGTATGGATATGTATTCAACAAAGATGCATGGGGTGACTTTCGACAAGGATCTCACCAAGTTCTTTCCTTTTGTTCAGAGCCGCTTCGTTTTTTTGTTTATTCCCCCTTATTTCTCTACAATACAGCCAGATGATAACCTTAAATCAGACCTATTGTAATAACCTCCCCAAGTGCTAAGATGAAGTCGCTAGTAATGTACTTGCATTATTAGTCATCCGAGAGCATAGTACAGCTACCGCGTTATGCGTTGCGAAGCAGGGCGAGTGGACCTCACAAGGCTGTTGAATGATCTGGTCCGTTGAAGGCAAGAGAAAATGATTCGGATTGCCGTTCGAACCGCCCAGGGTTATGTGTCACTTACTGTACTATGTCCGCAAGCTTAATCTGTAGTGATAGGAGCAGTCAATTGAATGCAAGTCTCCAAGAGTTCACTACAGGGGCAAAAATGGTTGTCATGAACCATTCATGTTAAGAACAAGAGTCTGGTAATGCACGCAGAGCAGCGCGATATCTACAGGGTCGGGTATCTCTGAATCACAAAACGTACTGTACAATCTCAGCCGGTCGACCATTACGGGCCAACATCAACGTCAACACCGATCCGCACCCCACGCCCCCGTCACATTCACGCCGCCGATATTGCGGATGCCCATCAGCCCCAGGACCGCCTGGCCGCGACGGATCAACTCGCCGCCCTGGCCGAGGGCGTCTCGACGCTGGATGCCGAGCCGCCGCAGCCGCTCGACCTCTTCCTCGGCCAGAATGTCCCCGCCCTTCCGCCCCTGCCACACCGCCTCGCGCACGACGGGCGCCCACGTCTCCGCCGCCGCCGCCTCATCCTGGTTCCCGGCGTACACCTTCCGCTGCCCGTCCGGGCGGGCCGGATCCGCGACCAGCTGGGACGAGAACCACTCCGACCGCACCACCTCGTACCGCCGCTCCATCCACCAGATGACCGGCCACGTGATGACCCACAGCTGGAGGATGATGCACGCCCAGTAGACGAACCCATGATTGCGGAGCCGGTTGATCCAGTGCGACGAGTAGACGGTGATGGTGCCGTTCGCGAGCGAGGGGGCGACGTGCACGTGGCCCTGGTAGCCCGTGGAGCGGATGTGGGCGATGAGCGTGGTGCGCATGGGCGCGGCGTCGAAGCCGTTGAGGTTGCGTCGGTAGGTAAATCTACATCCCAAGCGGATTGTTGGTCAGACCTTGCTCCCCCCGTAGATCATCGTTCAGCCGCAAAACGTACGATTTGACCGGGGCCGGATCGTCGCAGAACCGCCGACACCACCCCCGCAGCCCCGGGGCATCCTCTCCCGGCGCATCTCCGGCTTCCAACCCCACCATCAGTCGATCCCCCTCCCCCTCCCCGAGTTCCGTGGTCCCCTCGTCCGCCGGTAGCGCGATGCGCCCGCCCGACTTCTTCCCGTGCCGCACTCCGCGCGACGGCCAGCGTCCCCCGCGGTACGCTTTCTGGTGATCGTGGTCGCCGACGACGGTGGTGTAGGACCAGCGCTGGAGGGGGCCGGTGCCGCCCCAGGTGAGCAAGGTGCGGGTCAGGTCGATGCGGAAGTTGAAGTCGCAGACGGTGCGGCGGGTGGAGTCGTTGTCGCGGCGCTCCTTCTCGTGGTGCTGGCCGCCGATGATCAGGCACGGGCGCGGGGGCAGGCGGGTCTGCTGGTCGACGAAGCTGTACAGCGCCTCGGCGTCGGTGGCGAGGACAGGATCTAGGGTGACGACCCCGGCGTGGCGGGTCTTCTCGCGGACGCTGTGGTACGGCTGGTGGCCGGGGATGGTGTAGGCTTCGTGGGGTGGGGAGAGCGGGTCGTCGCGATAGGGTGCAGTCGGTGTCGGTGTCTGGTCGGTTTCGTTGTATGCCGGAGGTAGGTCGTCTTCCGGGAGCGGGTAGGGGATGGAGGATAAGGAGGAGGTGGTGGGGACTGGGGGGTCTGGGGGGAGGTCTTTGATTTGGCCCATGATGATGATGATGATTTTGAGTGTTGTGTTGGGATGCAGTTGGTTGATTAGATTTGGAAATCTTTGAAGAGAAGAAGGAGGTGAGAAGCGGACTGTGTTTGGTTTTAAGAGGGGAAATAAGCAGAGAGCACTGACTGCAGCAGGCAGCGGTGGGGGCGGTGGATCGGGTGCCTGAATGTTCCTGCCACTAAATCTACTCCGCCCCCACCGCCCCCATTGCCCCCATTGCCCCCTTGAGCCAGGGTGTTTATTGTATCTTTACATAAATCTACAGTCGATTTAGACAGGGATAAGGTGAGTTTTGGTGTCGTTTCTGTGTTCTGCTTGTCCTTGAGCCATTTTGCTACCTTGCTACCTTGCTACCTTCAAAGTACGGTACGTCAAAGGACGCAGATGAGGTGAAACATGCATGACCCCGCCTATGTTCTAAGAGTCTCTTAGTAATGAACTAAGATATATTTACAATATGGCTTTTTTATCTTTTGATCTTATTTGCTTTGACTAACGAACCCAGGATCCGTGGACAGTTCCAGGTCCAGACAGAATGAACACTATAGTTATACTTCTGACCAAGACATTACAAAAGCATCACCCAAGAGACACTTCATAGAGCCAGAAGGACACCTCATGGAACCAAAGGAAGCAGTCCTCAGCATCAGAGGCCTCTGATTCATCATTATCAGTAGGGTAGTATTCGTCCTCAATCATCCGGTTATACTCCTTGACCCGCTCCTCAAAGTCGCGCACCGTCCACGGCACCAAGGCCTTGCGCCGTCCATGCGGCACATACCCATCATCCTGAGATTCCTCCACCCGCGCCGCCGTCTCCCGCTCCACGAACCATATCCAGAAATCGTCCAGCGTGTCCAGATACTCGCGCCGCAGCTGCGGTAGGAGCACCACGTCGCCGGCGCTGTACTCCACGGCCTCGGGGGTTAACGGCCGCTGGGTCAAGCCTGGATCGTGGTGTTCGCCACCCTCGCCGTCCATGGACCGGAACTTCCTCGTCATCTGCCATTTGTTCTCCAGCCACTCATTCTTCTCCTCCGCCGAAAGGCCGACCTGCGTGCTGTCCCGGACGCAGGACCGAAGCCCCCGGAGCCAGCCGCCGCCGGTGCACTGGCGGAACCCGAGCTCCATGATCTGGATGTCCTTGACGCCTTGGAGGAGGATGTCGTACAGGACTCGAAGGGCGTCGGAGTCGTTGCGCACGTCGAAGAACACTTTGGTCTGGGTGTGTGATTCGAGGATTGTCTTGAGGGTGGTGGTGTTGTCGACGGCGGCCGGGGTGTAGAAGGCCGTGTCGCCTAGGGTGTGCACGTCCACGAGGTAGGTCCGACGCGGCTCTACGAGAGTGGATCGCCACTATTGTGATCGTGCCGTGGCGGCAGAGGTTCTCGCCTTCGCGATCGACGTACAAGTCCTCGGTGGGATTCACGAGGAGATCGTCCATCAGCTGGGAGACCCGCTCGAGGGTGTCGACGATGGTCAGAGGATGGCCATTCATGTTGCATGTTGTGTGTCCGCTTTTGATTAACGTATTTATCCGGTGTTCCAATGGGAGGCTTGTACCTTGGTTGAATTCACGTTCAGGTTGAAGGTCAATGGCTTGATGCTACCAGGGAGTTGATATTACAGTTGACTGGGATACCTTGGGCTTCTTATACCGCTCCTGCAAAATCTCAATGCCATGGCGGTGCCGTCATTGAACCATGAATTGCCTGGGTCGAGTCTTTCTTCCGCCAGAGAACGCTTTGTTGCAGAGCAAATGCTTCATTCAACATATGCTCACTAGCAGAAGATTGTCTCTGTCGCTGGCAAAGACTTTTCACCTCTTACAAAGAGGCCTCTGTCTCGGAAGAAAGGTGTGCATTTGTTTTGTGGAGGAGGACGACGGCCGTGCGGCCTTGGTAATTAGGCTGCTCGCCCACGCCCACCTCGGTGGCCCTAGCTAATTTAATTGCGCAGATAGCCTCACGTCGCAAAATCCATCCATTTTCCACCTCTCTCGCAGGTGTCAGTAGATGAGAATTCACCCATGGTCACCTTCAACGACAGTAGTTTCCCCCTTTGCAAACTGATCAAGAAAGCCCTACGCCCGTCTTGTAGCGGGCCAAACCGTCTCTCACGAAAGCAATCGGGGTGGGGCGGCTGAGGAGAAACATTGCGAAGGGCTCGCTCGAATGTGGGTCTATACGAGGTTTTGACAATTTATTCATGCAACCGAGAGTCCCAAAGCCCAGCGTGATATGAGCATTTACCCGAGACTTGTTATGATTTTGATACACCGAGAACCCTTCCATCTGTGATTCTATGACGACTTGAAAGATCGCATGGGATTCGATCTGTAGTGTTTGTGTGGCCACGTCCTTTAATCACGTTACGATGCAAAGCGCGGAGACCCCGTGTTCTTTCATCTTTCAAATCAAAGAGAAAGGTTTTTAGGCGACCATTCGGCGTAACGCAGATTCAACCGATGCATAACAGCAGCAGTAATCAGCGACCGTATCCCACAAGTGTGCAAATCTAATCTGATCTGATAATCTTATCAATAGAAACCGCCGCTGCTCGCGCCAAGGTTCGTTCTGTCGGGACCGGATCGTCCCCTGTGTGGTACGTACGATCCGATTCGCGGAGGGTTGCGGATCACCTTTAAACAACAGAATCTACTCCGTAGCTCGGGCGCATCGCAATGCAAAGCATTTCCTCGACTACATCCTTTACGCCTTCCGCAACAAACCCCCCACCTCCCGACCGTCACAATGACCCTCGACATGATACCAATCACCCTCCCCAATTCCAAGCAATTCTACCTCGAAAATGCACGAGGCGAAAAACACCTCATCCAGATCTCCTGGCCTCTCCACTGGACAGACGAGCAGCCCCCAGCAGACAGCGGCCCACTCCCGATCCTGTAACCATTCCTAAAACACTTGCTTACGCCCTCGCTTCCACCACCACTAATGCGAGACCAGATACATCGTCGACGGCAACGCGCTCTTCCTGACCGCGACCGAGGCCGCCTGGCGCCGGGCGGTCATGTCCGACTTCACGGGCGGCGGGCTCATCGTCGCGATCGGCTATCCCCTGACGGGGACGGGGAACGTATACGACTTCCCCCGCCGCAGCCGGGACCTAACCCCGCCCACCTCCGACCTGGCCGTCCCCGGCCACGGCGGGGCGGACGAGTTCCTGACCTTCGTCACGGACACCGTCCGCCCCGCCGTGCGCGCCGCGTTCCCGCGGGTCACGTGCGCCCGCGACGCCCTCTACGGCCACTCCTACGGGGGTCTGTTCGCGCTGCATGCGCTGTTCACGCGGCCGGACACGTTCGACTGCTATCTGGCGAGTAGTCCGTCGATCTGGTGGAATGGGCGGTGGATTCTGGAGGAGGCTAGGGGGTTTTTGGACGAAGAGCGTCCCTCGGACGGCGAGCGGGTGCCGCCGGCACTGATGATGTTTGTGGGGTCGTGGGAGCAGGATCCCCCGCGGCGGAGGGGGGAGTCGGATGATGCGTACGAGGAGCGCAGGCGGATGGCCGCGGATTGGCGGATGCGGGATAATGCGTTCGAGCTCGCGGAGATGCTGCGCGACTGCCCCGCGGTGCATGCGGTGCCGGTGCGGGTGTACGAGGGCGAGGAGCACACCAGTGTCATGGCTTGCTCCTTGAATAGGGGGTTGACGGCGTTTTTCGAGGGTTGGCCGTTCGCATGGTAGATGCTGAATCTGTATTGTGGATCGTGGTATGCGCCTTTCGTGCGAGACTGCCGATGAACGACTTCGGGTTGGAATGTCGGATTGGGACTAGTGGCTGGTGAGTGGGGGGACCAGCTCGGTGATAAGGACTTTGGAGCAAGGTCGTTTTTGATTTTCAGAGTTGTTTACCTGTATGATTTCCATTCGGGTTGACTTGTCTTCGTTTTGGTTGGAGGGGGATGCTTGAGTGGGCCATCGCCAAGGGTTTCCGCATCCCAAACCAGAAACAAGACTACGAGGCCATCGATGTATACTCCCCTATCTACAACTACATATGACTCTACACATGTCTGTGCCGCGAATTCGTCACGAGTGGGTGGCTGTCGTGGTTTGAGGACGACGACGCATACGCAAGCAACAGGGCTTTTCGGGCACGGTGATTGGTCCAACACTCGCTCCCCACCGGAGAAGTGGGGCGCCTCGCTCGCCTGGTGTGCATGATGCATCAATGCTTTTCCCTCCAGAAAACCACTTGAGGCGCGCAATAGCCAGGTTTCATTTGCTTCGCAGGAATGAATCTGAGAGTAAGTCTTCATCTCTCATGTCGTACCGACACCCATCAGCAAATTCGCCATGGTTCGCCCTCTGATCTGGGGATGCATTGGGGCGTGGTTTGCAACGGTGACTAGCGGCGATTTCGTCTCGACCAACTCCCAACGATATAATCAGGGCGCGCTGGGCCACCGGCCGCACCTGGAATTCCACTCGAGCAGCGAGTACGCCCCCGTGCTGCAGGTCAACACCTGGGACGCCGACAACATCTCCGACACGGGCTCGCACATCTTCCTCCGCCACGACGGGAACGACTCCTCCCCGCTAGCCTCGCCGCTCATCCTCGACAGCCACGACCTCAGCGCGGTGTACCTCAACCGCTCGTTCAAGAATGTGTTCGGCACCCGGGTCCAGGAGAACCACGGCAAGAGGTACCTGACCTTCTGGGGCGGGGAGAAGGGCGACGGGATCGGCGACGGCTACGGCCTGGCGTTCGACGAGACCTATCGCCTGGCCTACAAGATCTCAGCCCAGAACCTCCAGGTCCACAGCGACCTCCACGAGTTTGCCTTCACCGGCAACGGCACGGCGCTGGTCACCGGGGTCGACAAGATCCGCGCGCAGCGGTCTAATCTGCAAGACGGCTGGGGCACGCCCGAGCGGTTCGAGGTGCTGGATGCGGTCTTCCAGGAGATCGACCTCGAGACCAACGAGGTGCTCTTCCACTGGCGGGCCCTGGACCACATCAACCCGATGGAGTCGTTCGAGCCCCGGGGGAGCGGGTGGGATGCGTACCATCTCAACAGTATCCAGAAGGTGAGAGTCCAACCTCGGGAAAGTAGCCCTGAAACCAGACAACCCCCCACAAACTAACCCAGCGATACTACGGGAATAGACACAAGCCGGCAACTACCTCATCTCCATCCGCCACATGCACGCCATCTACCTCATCTCGGGCACGACCGGCTCGATCCTATGGTCCCTCGGCGGCCCGCGCAACAACTTCATCGAACTGCCGCCCGCCGCCGGCGTAGCAGACGAATCCACCGCGCAACCAATCCTGACCATGGGCTGGCAGCACCACGCGCGCTTCGTGCCCGGCACCAACGAAACGCAGCTGACCTTCTTCGACAATCACGTCAAGGTGACCTCGCACGGCACGTGCGACACCGACTGCTCGCGGGGCCTGCACATCGCCATCGACACGACCGCCTCCCCGCCGACCGTGCAGCTGCTCCGCGAGTTCCGGCACCCGGCCCGCCTGCAGGCCCAGAGCCAGGGCAGCGTGCAGCCGCTGGCCCCGCAGCCGGACGCCCTCGGCAACGTCTTCATCGGCTGGGGCCGCTGCCCCTCGTTCACGGAGCACACCGCCTCCGGGGCGACCGTCCTGGACGTCCAGTTTTCGCCCTGGCACAGCCCGGACATCCCCGACGCGCTGGACAATTACCGCGCCTACAAGGTGGATTGGTCCGCCACGCCGTGGTGGGATCCGGCGATCGCGCCGCGGAAGGATGCTCGGGGACGGTTGGTCGTCTACGTGAGCTGGAATGGGGCCACGGAGGTGAAGACGTGGGTGGTGCGCGGCGCCGCCGGGGATGTGGCCGCGGCGGAGGACCGAAAGGGCCAGATCCTGGTGGTCTCGCGGCGGACGGGATTCGAGACCAAGTTGGTCGTGGGGAGCACGCAGTGGCGGTATCTGTGGGCGGAGGCGGTCGATGACCGCGGGAACGTGCTGGCGGCGACGGATACCGTCGACTTGAATACGACGGAGTTGTCCATCGCCAGGGATATGTACGATGAGTCGGGGACTGCGGATCTCTTTGATCCGCCGCGTCCCGAGAAGAAAAGGTCCCACGCTGGCCTGTCGAAGGTGGTCGTGGCTGTGTTGGCCACTGGCGTGGCTCTGTTAGTTCTGGGCGGCCTCGCAGCGGCGGTTGTCTGGTGGCGGCGGTGCAGAGTCTACCGGAGTCTGGAAGCGGCGGACTTTGACCTGGACTCGGGCTCGGAACATGAGTATGGGAGTGATGGGGAGGATGAGGAGGGCAGCGACGCCGGCGGGGAGGGCAAGGTGTTACAGTCACAGGGGGTGGATGAGGACAGCCGTGCGCTTCTTCCCAAGGGAGGTTAACATTGGAGCTGTGCCGTCGTCCACAGGCGAATGTGGGACAGCCTTCATCAACTTGCTTCTGTGTACTCTTCAAGCCTGCGTGTCTTCAATAATGATTTTGTTTTGATCAGCATGTTATTGATGCGAAGGCGACTTCAAGCCTCCCGGCTCGTAAATCCATGTAGATGCTCGACAATCTGCTAAGTGGGATACAGCAGTCGGATATGAAATTTTGATGGTAGTGTAGGGTTATCTTCGTGATTGGAATTGCTTGGAGAGTGGTGTCACACTGCATCGACAGATATTACTTGCAAGCCTGAGAGCGTGGTAAGGAAAGAGAAAACAAAGACCTTTACTACGAACGCTAGACACAGTTTCCATCGACACTCCATCAGTCCCCTCAAAAGCTAGGTAGTAATTTTCAAGAATAATAAAGAAGTGGTAAAAAGAAAAAGCCTGGGGTCCGGAATCCGCAGTCCGGTTACGGCGGCCGGCGCCGCGTGGTAAACCATGACATTACAATACAAGGAAGGTGTGGCGTGGAGCCTTCCCGATCAACTGATCTAATCTGATCCGAGCCCCCCTCCTCGATTGATCAATTGATCAATTGATCAATTAATCCGGGCTTGATTGCGCCACGGCAACTCTGAACTCGCAATTCACATTGTTTTATTTGCTCTTTGCTCACAGACAAGCTGACAAGAGGTAAGTGCAAGTGAGCCTCCAGGTACCAAACCGCAAAATGAGCAAAAACGATTCAATCCTTCAATCCGAGATTTTGCCGTAGTTGAAAAACTTTGCGTTCTGGGACACTTGCATTTCGCTGCGATTCAAGGTCAGCGCGGGAGGCGCCTCGATTGGGAAACTGCGCTCGTCCGCCCGCGGCGTGGACCCGCTCTAGCATAGTGGGGATTCACATTGAGATACCATATTGGCTACGATGAACAGGGTCTCAGATCCTTTCTCCCTCTCTCGTTTTTTTGTACGGGCCTCGGACCGCTACCTGACACTACCACCACGGTAGCACCTTCTTCTAGACCTGGCCAAGCCCATTGTTTCTTTCTTCTTTGGGCCATCTACCCGCCACCAATGATCCGTCTTTATACTAATAGTGTGGACTTTCCGACTATCGGCCTGTGATTCCGTCCTCACTCAAGGGATGCCAACTAGAGTTAGTTATTCTCGGCTATTTGGACGGGAACGTTGTGAGTGAGTGCCGTGGGGATCAAAATGATGCATACGGGCCAGATAGCAACTGCCTTCTTGGTCAGAAGTAGTGGTTATGCCACTGCTGCCATAACTCGCTCTATCGCTCCATATTTCCTCTCGAGGAGGCCCCTTTCTTCCCAGAACCGTAAGCGTGTTGAGTCCATCTCGGCCCAGGGCAGCCCAAGAGCAAGGTAATTAAACCCCATCATTTGCTGATCATGCTGCCGGCTTCAATCCCCAAGGCTCTTGTACCGGACATTGTCGGAGTCGCGTAAGAGTCAAGGTGTTCTCCCAGAAGCTTTAATTACAACGTGTCTGGGAGGTTGGTCTAACGATACTGATGCAGTGGTGCCAGTGTATCGTCCGATATCGTTGGGTCAACACCCCCACTCTGTGTAATCCTGTCGCTTGCTCCTGCAGCTAGGGTAATTTTGAACCTAATCAGCCGTATCGAGCTGTAATATAAACCAGTGGCTCTGGAAGGAATGCAACCATGATCATGTGTTTCCTTATCAATCAGTACTCTTTCTGAGTTGGGAATAGTCATCAACTTGTCGCCTCTTGCATGAGTCGAGTAGTGCTGGTGGCATTCCTTGACGCTAAAGCCTCTCCGAATCGGTTGTGCGTCTTCGGCTGGGTTAAATACTTGACCTATCCCTCTGTGGGTTCCATTCTGCTGATTCTTACTGCACGCGACCTCGACCCGGACAGTCCTTGCTTGTCTTTTTACAATGACGTTTCTGAATAGGTTTCAGCAGATTCGGGGTGGAACAAGGGCTGCACAGGTCGAGGATTCGATTTCAGATGAAGATCGCATTGCGACAATCCAGACGAATGTCGTGAGCAGCAAGGATGCTGGGCCCGCCCATCCCGGTGCACCCTCTGATGACCCCATCAAAGATGTAGAGAAGCCAAGCGAGGAGGCACAGTTTGGTGTCCAGAAGATCGAAGCTGTAACCATGGCTTGGTCCAAGGCGTCGTTGGCTACGGTGCTTATCCTGTACGCGATCGGCTATCGAGACTTTTCCGAGATAATTGTTTTCCAGCTGACACCTCTACTCACAGCATCTGGCTATTGACGCTCGTCAACGGCTTCAAATCCACGGTTGTCAGCACTTTGAACCCCTTCATCACGAGCTCCTTCCAGGCCCACTCGCTTTTGACCGTCATCACGATCGTCGCGGGGTCCATCACCTCCGCGATCTACATTCCTATGGCCAAGATGCTGGACGTCTGGGGACGCGCAGAAAGCTTCCTCCTCATGATGGCTCTCTGCATCCTCGGGTTGGTCCTTATGGCCGCCTCGCATAACCTTGCCACCTATTGCGCCGCTGAGGTAAGACGGTCTGCCCACCCAGTCGACCACGGTCGCAGAGATTCCTAACCGCTATATCAAACATTTAGGTGTTCTATACGATCGGTTTCGGAGGACTTAGCTACACATGGGACGTTCTCGCCGCAGATGTGACAAACCTCAGAAATCGAGGATTGGCATTCGCCTTTACGTCCTCTCCAGGCATAATCACTGCTTTCGCAGGATCCAAAGCTGGAGCGGGATTTTACGCCAACGTCAGCTGGCGATGGGGCGTCGGCTGCTGGGCCATTGTCTTCCCCTGTGTAGCGCTGCCACTGTACGCTGTCCTCGCGTGGAACCTGCGCAAGGCTCGCAAGGAGCAGATTGTGGTACGTGAGAAGAGCAACCGAACCTTTTCCGAAACGATCCGGTGGTGCATCACAGAGTTTGACTGTAAGTCCTCATGCTTATACCCTAGAGTTGACTTGCCTCGCTTCCTGCTGATCCACGCACAGTACCCGGGGTCTTCCTCCTCGCCGCCGGTGTCGTCATCTTCCTCCTCCCGTTCACCCTGGCCACTACGGCACCGAACGGCTGGAAGACAGGCTACATAATCGCGATGATCGTGGTGGGCTTCATGCTGCTGGTGTTCTTCTTCCTCTACCAGATCTACTGGGCGCCCGTGCCCTTCCTGAAGAACCGCTTTCTGCTCGACCGCACCGTCCTCGGCGCCGTGCTCCTGGACATGACCTACCAGGTCTCGTACTACTGCTACGCGAGCTACTTCTCCTCTTTTCTGATGGTCGTCTACAACCTGGACGTGGCCACGGCGGGCTACGTGACCAACACCTTCAGCGTGGTCTCGTTCGTGTTCCTGTTTATTGCGGGCTACCTGATCCGGCTGACAGGCCGCTTCAAGTGGATCCTGTGGTTCTGCGTGCCCCTCTACATCTTCGCCATGGGGCTGATGATCCACTTCCGCCAACCCAACGGATACATCGGGTACATCGTCATGTGCGAGGTCTTCTTTTCGGTGTCCGGCGGCATTTTCATTCTGTGTGTGCAGCTGGCCGTGCTCGGGGTCGTCGACCATCAGCACGTCGCCGCCGTGCTGGCCTTCCTGTACGTGGCCGGCGGGATTGGCGGGTCGATCGGCAGTGCCATCTCCGGCGCCATCTGGACCAACACTTTCGAGAAGGCCCTGAAGCGGTATCTCCCGGCATCCGCGCAGCCGGACCTTCTCACCATCTATGAGAGTCTGCCGGCGCAACTGGCGTATCCGGTGGGGAGCGAGGAGCGACTGGGCATCCAGAAGGCGTACGGGTACGCGCAGACGAGAATGCTGGCGGCGGCGACCGCGTTCATGGTCTTGGGGTTCGTCTGGGTGGGTATGATGAGGAATATCAACGTCAAGAACATGACGCAGACCAAGGGGAATGTTCTTTAGAAAAATGGCATTTCTTAAGGGGTGCTGAGAGCCGGTCGGTCACGTGACGAATGTACTCGTTCGTCCCATCAGTTTGATGCAAGGGCAGTGTTTGGCGGGTGTTCCTTCTCTGAGCTACCGTGATCGGTGTAACATGCCCGAATTGCGTAGGGGCGATGAGAAGCTGGAAACTTGGTTAAGGTACTGTGCTGCCAGTTCGTGGTGGATTGATTGTAACTTGATCATTGGGTTGGATCTTGGATGGGCACGCAAGGCTGTGAGATGCAGCTGCAAGCCCTAATCGGAAGGGAGTTGGCAACTAAACCAAGCGCAAAAGATGCTATAGGCTGGATGTGGCCCCTCATTAGCTTGGCAGTCGTATTTTGCTGCCACGCTCATTATAATTCGCTGATAATTTTCGGACTGCGTGCGGAGTACGATGTACTTAAGCAGGATTGTCATCCCACCTGAGGCTCAGATCTGCCTCGACCCCGCCACAGCCACACTGCCTGTCTGTCAGCCTTCTCCATCACCGCCAGGCTAGTTTTCTATATGAAGCCACGGAAGCACCATCGCACATTCCACCCTCAACATGCATCACCCTAAACTCCTCCCCTTACTATGGACGGAGCCAGCGCCGTGCTCGCCTTCGCCCAGCTCGGCCTCAGCCTCGCGACCACCCTGAACACCTACATCGCCGACGTGCGTCACGGCCGCGACGACATCGCCAACCTCGCCAACGAGATCGAGGCGACCGTCTCGCACGCCCAGGAACTCGACCGCATCATCCAGGAAAACAAAACCACAGCGCGCTGGAGCGCCCACGGGCTGTTTTTGGCCAAGAAATGTCTTCAGGATTGCCAGGATGTGATCCAGCGGCTATCGAGGCTGCTCCGCCGCTCAGGAGGTGGGGGCACGATGCCCGCGGCGGCGGCGGGGGATAGATCCGTTCTTCCTGGCACAACCACCACCACCACCAGGTCGGCGAGCGACACAACGAGCGACAGTCGGACGCTAGTTTCGCGCACGGAAATTGATGTGTCACTTTTTGGTCGCCTCTCGTGGCCGCTGTTCAAGCCTCAGCTGCAGTTTCTGAAGCAGGAGCTGCAGAAGATTAAGATCGAGATGCTGCTGGCGCTGAGTACTTACCAGGCTAGTTCGACGTGGGTTGCCCTGGGACTCTCCTCCTTTTTCTTGTCCTCTCATTTTATCTTTCAAAATAAGTTGCGTGTTTGTATATTGTTGAAACCTTACGTGCTCATGTTGGTTGGACTGCAGGTCAAAAGAAGAAGATCGGAAGGCGATTGTCGAGCGCATCATCGCGCTGTGGCGCTCGCGCACCGTCGCCCGTCGTGAGCTCGTCCTCTGTGGTCGCAGACTCGACCGAGCGACCCGGCCTGGTTACGGTGATGTTCCCGGACAGAATGATCGATTCACTACCTATATGAGTGAAGAACGTGGTGAGGAATCAGCGCACGAGTTGCCAAGGACCAGAGGCATCTCGCCCGAAAGCCTCGACCGCGCGTATGCTCGCCACCGCGGCCGGCGTCCGACACGAGACGCGCCTGATGATCTCGAGAAAGAGCGCCCGTACATGTCTGGCGATGAAGCCTTTGAGGGAGGCAGATTCGAGCACCCTCGCGATGTCAGCACCACGCAATATGGGCCGCCATACGCTCCGGAACCCGAGGACTTGGGGAGGAGGAACCCCGTCAAGCAAGCGATCGACTATGCCCTGAAGTTTGTGCTGGCGCCGGAGGACGATTCTCGAGCGTCGAAGCAGAGGATCTCGTCGCTGTGGAGCAGATACAAAGGCGATCCTGTGGCATTGAGACAGTATGTAGCAGCCGGATATTATCCATGCATATGAGACCCACCTACTTACCTCTGCACTCACAGACTCTTAAGGATGGTCAACACCATCCCAGCAACGCAACGCAACCCCACAATCCCACTCATCCTACAAGACTCCACCACTGCAGACGGCCTCGCCTTCACCTGGTCTCTCCTCATCACCAAGACCCCAGTCTCCTATACCGTCCACCCAGTCGACTACCCCCTCCCACAGCTCACCAAGCGCCTTGCCCGCGAAGAACAAAAGTCCGCCCCATCCGGCGCCCTAAACCTCGAAGCGTACGCAGCGCTGACCATCCTCCCGCCGGGATATCGAGACCTGATCACCAACTGGCTCATTCCCGACCCCTCCTCGCGCCACCACTGGATGCTCCTCGTCGTGGACCCGGTGTACCCACCCCCACCCCCGAAGGACAGAAAAGCCACCTGGCGCGACCGCCTCCGACTCTCGCGCCCAGACCCACCCCAAGACCACCCCCGCGAACCGGCAAGTGTGCTCGCCGTTTTCAAACGCTGCACGCAAGCGTATGCCCGCGGTAGCTCCCGCGCCGAGTTCAGCCCCTCCACCAAGAGATTGCTGGGCACAGTCACCCCCGCCGTGGCGGGCGCACTGATCGCGGCGCTGCGGGAGCGCGCGCGGGACCGTCGTCGCCCGGGTCGGGAATCCAGATCGCCTTCGCGCAGCCCTTCGCGGCCGCGGTCCAGATCTCGTTCACGGGTCTACGAGCGTGAGTCGTACCCGGCGGCCGGGGATGGGCCAAGTGCCCGGACGCGATACCGGTACCGGCCGCGCGAGCGCAGCTATGAGCGTGAGGCACGGCCTATGCGCGCTGAGGATCCGCGGGCGGGCCCGGTGCCCGAGCCGCGGGTGTACGCGGAGGAGGTGTCAGACTCCGAGGGAGAGGTGAGCGGGGGCGAGGGGGGCTCGCATGCGGAGCTGGCGGATCGGATCATGACGCGGTATACGGGGCGTGTGGTGGCGCGAGAGGGGAAAAGGCAGGATGGGGGAGGGTGAGGTGGTGATGACTGATGTGATGGATCCTGTATGATGTTAGGGCCGGCAACAATCCGTGGAGGGACAGTGTATTCCCCCCGCCTAATTATTTCTTTTTATTAGTTTGGCTCGGATTGAAGAATTTCGGCTATGAGTTGTAGCTCTGTGGAGTTGTCGGTCCAGCCCCGGATGTCCGTTCACAAGTCCGGCTTGATCTTCGCGCTTGATTCATTGGGCGTTTCAGGAGGAGTCAATTGTCCACTGGCTTGGGGTCAAGGCCGCTAGGTTTCGGGTCTTCGTGAGGTACTCCGTCTTTCGTGAATACGTTACAACAGTCACTTGGCAACAGCAAGACATAGTTACCCCTGGTCTGTCCGACCGGCATCGACTCTCCTCTCCTGGGAAAGAATGTGTCACACATACGAGCGCACGAGCCGCTGCGTAGATAACGTGTCCGCCATTCAGTGGGATTGGGAAACCTCGTTCTAACTGCTTCCGCCTATGAACGGAGTCATGAGTGACGCTAATGCGGCTCGAGTTTGATTGATCTCATATATAAACACTGAATTCTCCCGCACCACTAAGCGGTTGGAGTCCAGAAGTTCATCTTCTGTCGAGTCGAGCGGGGAAAGTCCCCCGAGCTCCGAGACTGGGTGAATCGCACCTTGTCTGGTACGCATTGAACCCCTTCCCCGGGCGCACAGACAAATAAGTAGCATGTGCCAACCAATGGATATCTTGTCACCCAGTTCAAAAACACTCTCGCGGTTGTGATCTTGGAGAAGCGAAACGAGGACGGAAACTCCACCGTACGCTGAATGCCAGACTCGAGAATGCCGGCTGAATATAACGAGGCACGACAAAAACAGGAGGTTGAAGGGGGAGACGCCGAAACAGCGGCCAGAAAGGCAGTGGCCAGAGCTGCTGCCGAGAGGCAGGCACGAGAGGACACGGCGGCAGTTACGAGGGGTCTCACGGACCAGACAACGAGCAACAACTATCTTCCTCGGGCCTTGATGCCCAGAGACGACGCAGGAAGGGATGAGACAGTTTCGCAGGGACTATTATAGTTATGGTTTCGGTCCTGGCTCTGAGGAATGCTTGATACTATGTCTTAATGTCATTTGTCGTCAGTTACATCTTGAAAGCGCAGGCGCAGCTCATTCTCATATCTCTCCTTGGCTTTCAACTTCTCTCCAATGAGAGCCTTTGTATCCACTGACCAGTACTCAGATACTATGCTCGAGAAGCCAGTGGGATCAGCGCTCTGAGATGCTGAAAATCTGGGCTGAATATGGTCTCTGAAAATATTGAATAGACCTTTAGCACTATCCAAGGCATGGAAGTACCAGAAATTTCCAACTCCCCACCCTCGTCTCATGGCGTTTGTCCGGTAGGCGGAGACATTGAAGAGAGGCGGATAACGCTTTTCTTCCTCCTGAAATATGTCCACGAATTTGCCGTGGGCCTCGCTGAATGTGTCGAGATGTTCCCCGAGAATGTCGTCAACGTGCCGGCCGGTCAGCCAGTACGGGGGACGTAAAGTCTCCACTGGCAGAGAGCACGTCCACTCCAGGTCGATCAGGTATCTGATGTGCCAGTCCTTGTCGACAAAGATGTTGCTTTGATGGAGGTCGGTGAGCCGGTAGAAGAAAGGCCCGTGGGATAGTTGTCGGTCGGTGAAGTGCGGAAGAAGCGCCCGCATCATGGTCAAATTCGCCATTTGGGCGCGTCCGTCGTCCTCATCATGCATCGAGTTCGGCTGATGTCGTAGACGGCTGTCGTGGCAGGATAGAATATCATGGTAGTAGGAATCAGCGGAACTATAAGTCAAGTTGCGGCCGATATTGGTTGAAATCCCAGCGTTCTCCAACTGATGCAGGCGAAGGGTGAGCGGACGGTTGGTCAGTTGCGGGACACCGTTTGTGTCGATCGTCCAAGAGCCGATACGGGGTAGTGGGAGTTGGCTCAAAGACAACATTATGCGGGATAAGTCCCGGTAGAGATTGGTTGTTTTGTCGCCAGCGTGTGGAAGTTCGCTCCAGGTTTCCGATAGCATTCGAACTCCTGGCTCGTCGATGTAGTCCATGACGAGGTAGCCGTGGTCTAGTATGTGTTGTCGACGGTGGCTGATATATGGGCAGGGCAAAGGACGGCCCAACAGCCACGACACGCATCGCTTGGCGTACCAGAAAATTCTCGCCATGAGAGACATGTGTTTGGGTATACTGAACTGCGTAGGATACCTTATTAGCCTCTCCATTAAGCTGAAATGCATGGCTTGCCTACAGTCTGACCACCAGGGAACCCAAACCCCCACAGCCGAGGAATCGGGATGTCAAGCTGCTGCTGACCTATCCAGATAAAGGTAGCGGCCTCACAGCGGAGCTTCTCATCCACATTGCCTGGATTTAAAGCCTCGCCTACTTTGTACGGTAGAGGGAATCGGATCATCACGCGTTTGGGCGACTGCATGGTCCGACTTTCGATCCGAACCGGGATGCAGACGTTGAAACTGCCGTGGATCCACTCCTTGACCTCTTCCACGAAGCACTGCTCCCATCGACTTGATTGTAGATGGTCCGCGACGAGCATTGCGATATATTGGCGGCGGCTGTATAGAGATACGAAGAACTCTATTCGGGACTTGGGGAAGGATAGCTCGAGCAGCATATCCTCTTCCTGGTCCAAGGCTTCCTCTAACGTTATCGATCCCCGAAGGAGTGGAGGACTGCGGATCGAGTAGTCATCACGTTGCATCAGGGTCCGATGTTTACATGTGGAGTGGCAGGCAGGGGCGTGTTGAAGATAGCGATTCGTTTCAGGGGCTGCGATCGCAGGGAAGTCCCGGGTCACCTGACTATGTATGCAAGCTGCACGTGATCAGGTGCACAACAAAGACCACAACACCTGTCTCATTTACGGATTTGTGCTTAGTCTATTGTACAGGGCAATTGAGGGTCCCGAGTAGCCTCTAGGTGTATGCATTAGTTAGATTTTCCATAGGTAGCCGAACTCCGAGGCCCGGGACCCGACAATGCCAATTCTTTCCAGTATGCGTCTAGGGCTGTAGCTTTGGATTTCCAGACTATCAACTTTGAGACTCCACAATTTACATATCGAGGCCGATGGTGATCATCATGCAATATCTATAGTGTGAGTCTTGTAAGTATACTGGCAACTTGACGATTCTGTCAATGCTTCCATGCTTCCATACTCATTGTGAAGCCTAATGGCTGGGCTGTGGTTGACTTGACAATCGAAGACTTGGTAAATCTGGAGACCAAGGCATTGAACCATATCTGCAATCTGGCTCTAGGCTGGCGGTTAGGGCTATAGCTGCGTGGTCGAGCGTGATCCGGGCAAGTCACAGGAACAACGGACCTACGTCTAGATGCGATCTAGCATGCGGTTCTTCGATTTTCAAAAATACGAACATTGCTACATAGACACTCAGCTAACAGCTTATCTAAAGCTCTGATAGTAACTGGCATAGTTCTATATCCAAGCCCGAGCCAGCCAAGAAGCTAGAACGGCCAGCATGATGCACCGGCAGATCGTGTTTACGGCTAAGCCTTCTGAACTTTGTTCGGTGGGGAAGCAATTGACCCTTGCTAGACCTCTCTTTCCCAGCGCGCATGCCTCCTACACCCTGCTTGCCGTGATAGGATACGGAAAACAGACAAGGAAGGGACGCCCCTCGGGCAAGTAAGCATAGGTGAAGAAGGAACTGCTTGAAGTTTTGAACACCAACCAAGGCAGAAACTGGTGTAGTCCTTTCCTTCCTGCTCTGAAGCATTACTTCCCCTCCTGCGCTTTCCATGTTGGAATACACGATGGAGATGGTTTACTTCGCCGGCGCTCTGCTCAGCTTTGCGTTCTCTCTCTTCCTTTCTCTCCCCATGTTTCGAGCATTGTCTGTTAGTAGACAGTTTTTATCGACCCACTAATACCTCTTTTCATCCACCTGCACGCCTGTTGGAGCAAAGATGTCAGATGAGGAGTAAGTCTTCCTAGTAGCCCTCGTGGGACGCCTTGCTGACCCGTGCTCAGGATGAATAAAGGTAAACCCCCATCCCCCGATGCTCCGGGTGACCACTCTTCGTCCAACTTCATCTCTTGGTGGGGTACAGGGGATCTGGGTTGGCTTCTGGGAACAGGAGGCAACGCGGCGAGCTTGGATCGCATTCAGGAGTTGAAGAGACAAACGCTCCTCCTCACCCACGGAGACTACGCGGGCCGGTTGTGGAACTGCCTAGTGGAGGTATCCAAACGCCGGGACATGCGCCGCCTTCCCTACAGGGTCGCCCAATTCCGCGATAAGCTCATTCAGGAATCCTCGGATCCCTCCGGAAGACAACCCCACATCGAACAACTAGAGGAGTGTGTCCGACACCTCCAACGACAGTCGTTCGATGTCGACCTAGGAATGGCCAAGCTGGCAATTCTGGTATACAGTAGACGGAACGAAGTCTGTCATGCAGCGGTAGGGAAGCCGGATGTTTCGAAGGACCTCGCCAAGCTGTGGCAGGTTATCGATCATGACAAGGAACATCTTCCCGAGGCCCTGCCAGACGATCAGCTCCTCTACCATACCACCTGGCAACGGATTCTCACCTTCTACGGCTCCTCGCAAAGTTGGATCAATCTCAAACCTGGTACTCGGTTTGCACGTCCTTTGCCCGAGCCCGACTTCAGACTCCGACCGGATAAGGCAAGCCGCGTGCGAGCCTTCGACAACAGAGAATGCGGAGATCGAGTCGACGCGGTCTTCCAGACATTCAAGGAGCGGATCCCGGTCACCTCTCGTCCTGTTTCCAGCCAAACGCGGGCGAGGCACAGTGTGTCAGATCCAACTCCCTACATCCTCCCCAGGAAAAGGCGTGCCTCTGGATCGCCGGACTCCGAAGGAGGTGGCCTAGGAAGCACCGCCGCCGAGAGACTCCCCACCGTGGCCTTTGGAAACGATGTGGATACTCGTCAATTTCAAGCTTTCTACGAGGATCTCCGCACTCTGTATGACAAGGATCCGGAAAGGGGCCGCAAGGCTCTTGAGGGGGCACGGAGAGTGGTCACCCGTGAGATTGCTAACCATGACGACCCCAGGCCAGCGAAGAGGAGGAAGGGGAGGGAGTAGGGGACTAGGCCACTGATAGAGAGGATGATCATGGTTGGACAAAGGTTTCCGGTTCCGGTGTAATGATGCACGCACCTTCGGGGCGGTAAGTCATATCCTGTCCCCATGTGACTCACTCTACCAGCGGCCACTGCAACGAGTTAGGTATTGCCTTGTTTCATTCAGCCTTGTGAACAGATGCTGATTTTGATTCTGCCCTCTAGGGTCCCCAGCGATGAGCTTGCACCTTACCGTGGTGCTGGGGTTCAGTACTCCTCCGGCAACGGAGGAGGAAGCCAAGTCAAGCTCCCTTTGTATATATGTACAGCCTTTTCTCGTATCTTGTAGTGAGAGCGGGGCTTTACTTCTTTTCCTCAGTTACGTTCTTCTAGCCCTGTCGTTTCTTCGAGTAGATTATCCAGATGAATTGATGGTACTTGAATACTGCCTACTAAGCCATGCAAGGCTTGATCGCTCATGGTCATGCGACGGTAGTGCCTTCCTTATCGCAAAGCCTGACCCCTGTGACCCTGCACTGAACCCCTTGCCATAACCCCGCATGTCATCCAGCATTATGTGTGGCCGAAGGGTTTCACAAAAGTGAAACAGCCTTAAAGGTGCCACCAAGCCAAAGATAAAACCGTATTATGTAGATGTGATTATGGTAGTGTGAGTAATGTAACTGGTGAAGAGCAAGATCGCTTCTATAAAAGCCCCACCTTGTATGACAAAAACGTAGCATTGAGTACATAGTCCATCTTATGCTAAAGCACAAGCTCGGGGTCTGAGTAGTCCCCTTCGTCATCTGAGTCTTCCCAAGCCTCCCTGAAGTCAAATCGACTCAAACGCTCGCAGCCCTTCTCACAGCCTGACTGGAAGCCCATGTGGCGGCAATCGGTGCACCACTCGCGCTCAAAGAACCGGAAACGCATGATACTTTGTTGCCCCCAGTTCCGATGCAGGTAGCTCCACATCCAGAAATGGTATTCCCCGTTTCTTTCAATGTCACCTCTGTTTTTCCACCCATGACCTGGGCTGCTAGGGATAGCCTGCCAGTACCCGAGGACAGTCTCCGGGCTCAGAGGGGGCATCCCTCGCGGATATCGCCGACGCCATTCGTCCCACGGCCACTTCGGCGATTGCCAGTCCGCTTCGTGACAGATGTTCCAGTGATGCCAGTCGCGGATGCAGAATTTCTCCAGGCCGGGGTCGTGGAGTTTGATGGCCCGGGGGCAATTGCGCAGAGTTGCGAAAAAGTCCCGGTAGACCGGATCTTGTGGGAAGAGTACGGGGCGCCAACAGTGGGCCCGGCATAGGCGAAGCTGGGCCGCGGTGTACCCGGGGAGAAGGTCCAACTGAGTGTTCAGGAAGAACTGCATATCGCGGATCGTACCGTCGAGATCGTCAAAGAGGCGGACCACGTCGCGGTAGTGCGGGTCCCGGCTGAGGGGGCCATCGTTGTAGGTCTCGTATCCGTTGTTGAGGATGAAATCGCGACCGTAGTTTATGAAGCCCCAGTCAATCGCACGATCCATGCGACGGGATGAGGGGACTAGTCGGAGGCTTTTGACATTGCACAGCCGACAAAACGGGAGAAAGACGACGTTGTGGTCGGGTTGGCGGGTCCCAGGATATGGGATGCTCTCCACTGCGCGACCGGCGTCCTGCCAATCGCTTCCCTTATGCTCCTTGAGGTCAATGGTGATCGACTTTATTGTCGCGGCTTCGAGAAAGCTTGTGAAATTCCGGATATTGTTCCATAGAAGGATGATCTGCCCGGGGTCGTGCGGATCCGGTGCGTAGATGTGAATTTGGAGATTGGTCTTGTGGTACGGGAGTCGAGAGAAGCGATCGCGGATGGCAGGGGTGGAGTAGGGTATTTCCCAGTGCAATCGCAGTGCCTTGCAGCGAATCTCAAGCCGAGAGCTATGCCATGATGGTGTCAGTTCGATGTCAAGGGTGTCATAGAGGCGGCCAGTGATCTCTTCGCAGATCGCGCGAGAGCAGCACAAAATGCTCACGGATGGTGTCGGCTTCCAAAATAGTCTTTCGTAAGTCTCCAGTCGAAGCTCCAGGGGCAACACGCCCAGCTGTCCGAAGGGAGATGGCGGCATGCTTTGTAGCGGAGTAAGGACTCGAAAGAAACGACAGCAGTTGTATGGGCGCCTCTGCGCCGTTGACTTAAACAGAGATAGCTTGTAGATACTGAGAAATAGGAGGGAACAAGTGGCACTTGGCACTTGGTCTCTCGAGATGAAGTTGCCTCGCGTAGTTGAAAAGAGATGATCTGCTGAAGTGCTGAAGGGCTGAACAGCAAAGGTTGTGACGAGTGAGTGCGAAGCATTGATGTTGAGAGAAAAAAGCTAAAGAAAAGCGAGAAGGGACAGTGAGGTGCCGCTGACTCATTCGCGCAGTCGTCCTGCGGGTTTGAATTCCGGCTGCGCAACATACTATTAGGTAGTGACATGGTGACATGGCAGTTACCCAACATCGCGATCATAGACACTATCCCACCAGTGAAGCAGCAAGCATGACCAGCCCGCCCAGCCCATCCATACCGGAACACCAATCCTCCCATGTCGCAGCTTCCCTGGCACTAGCTGGCCTCTGCAGAGCCACTGTATCTTGGCAATAGACCTCGTTCACACTGAGCTGCACAAGCTCGCCATTGGCCGCCATGCCATACTCCTTCCTAAACGCAGGTCCCCTTCCAACCTCAGCCTTCCAGGCAAGCTCGTCGCCCGCTTCCCACAGCTGTCTTCTTGCCGGAAGGGGCGATAGAACGAGATCTGTGGGACGTTTGCACATGGCGGCTGGATCGAAGTACACCAGCATGCCCACGACCTGGTAGATCACGCATAGCCTTGGCGAAGATCAATATTTGCCTTCTACTCCAGGTAGGGATCCACAAACCTTCGCCTGGATTCGTCAAAGAGCCAGTCGTTCCATGACACACAAGCGTGGTCGCTCCTACCCTCTCCTTCGGTGCTGGTGGCAAAGCTGATTTCGCCGACCTGTCTGGCAATTACCTGCTCTGAGCATTAGAGCTCAACCATGGACAATGAACCATTGGTAAGGCCTACCGTCACGGCCGAGAGCAACAAAAAATCGACGTTATTGTGCTCTGTCTCGCCCTCTTCGAGTCTCATGATGATATAAATGGATAGAGCCTGCATCGCGGCAAGTAGTTCCCATTTGTTCAGCTTCGCGTGCTTCATGCTTCAGTCAGTGACTCTTCCGTCTCATAACGGAAGAATTGATCTGCAAACAGCGTACCTCCGCATACAGTCGCTCACATTCCCAATGAACGTTCTTCCAAAATAACTTGCGATTGCCTCTCACCGGTCCGCTGGTCATATGCATGAGACTAATGCAGTTGGTCAACGGCTCCATGTCCTCGTTCTTGGCATCTAAACGGATCAGGTGGGGATGAATGAAGGGGGGGAGGTTGCTGTCACGTAGCATCATCGGGGGGTAAGACCTCAGGGTGTGTAAAATCAGATTCGCGGACCTCTGGGCTCCCACATTCAGTCTCGGACGCTGCAACAGCGAGCGGATGTTCTGAGCTGGGGCCATGGGAACCGACAAACTTGGCGTGAGCTGCTTCTGTTCCATCGGAACTCTCGAACCAACAGCCTCTGGCAGAGACTCTGGGGACGGGTATTGACCGGTCTCGGTGCATATTATAGGCTCGAAAATATTGTTGGGGCCTGGTGTTGCGTGACCGGCTCCAAGCAGAATTTGGTCGAGAAACCCGAGGTCCAGGCTCGATCCCGCGAGCCCAGTTTCCGCATACATCGCTACATCATCGCTAGTTTCAAATACGCAGTCTGCGTTAACAGTCTGATTGGACACATCAGGTGTGATCGACTGGCTGGTCCATGCATCGGCCTGTTTATTTCTGCGTCGTGCGTCTCGAGGAGTCCTAGCTGGATACTCGCACTCAATTGCCGTCATCACGCAACGGGAGCATCTCGGATGCTGCTGATCGCAACGCGCCTTTCTCTTCGCACAGGCCATGCAAGAGCGCGACCGCGGTGAATTTTCGTTCTTCCGTGACCGACAGTAATACCCATGCCTCTTGAGCGTAGACTCTGCAGGGTCCTAGTGTCAGGCAGACGTGCGGTACATAGTTTCGGGACGGACACTTACCCTTGTCGAAGGGCTTGTTGCAGCGCCCGCATCGTAATGGAGTAGGAGCCAAGCTCGGTCTCTGCATTTTTTTTTTTGATTTCAATTTGCACCGCATGAGATACTGAATCCGATGGGCGGAGCCTATCTAAGTATCTTGACACTTGTTGCATTTGTCAGCGATCTTGGTAAGCGGTAATCCTGCAACGGAGTTAGGGCTAACTGCTGAGCTGGAGCCAGGCGGGACCTGCCTGATTAGGAAAGGACTGTCGGGCGGAACATTTTGTCAACCTCAGGCGCCAAGGCGGAACACCTCGGTATGCTTCACCCTCCAACCCAATCAGATGCCCTCTATCCGATCGTGGAGTCCTGAGGCTACCGAATCAAGACGCGATACTCGTGATGAAGTTAGACGAGACACTTCGTTTCTTATCTCGGAGAGGCAATTTTGTCAATACTTACTAGTACTGTCAATTTTGTAGTCATGCCTAACAAACGCACTCGAGATGAAAGATATATAAAGACTGGGTTTTCAGCATTTAGTAGTTCTATGATCACGTATCAGCATCAACGTGCAGTACTTGTCATCGGTCTTTCTGCTCCACCTCGTCTTTCTTTTGGTTTGACATCTACAATGGCACCCTTCCCCTCCCCAACCGCCGTGTGGCACGACAAAGCCTACCCGGAGATCTCTCCCTCGCGCCCCGAGCTTTCCGCGCACGGGAAAACCATTCTCATCACCGGCGGAGGCACCGGCATCGGGGCCGAGACCGCCCGCAGCTTTGCTCAAGCTGGCGCCGCCCGCATCGCTCTCCTCGGCCGCCGTGAGCAGCTTTTGCTGGACACCAAGGCCTCGATCCAGCGTGACTTTCCGGCTGTCGAGGTCTTCACAGCCTCCACGGACGTCACCCGCCAGAGCGAGGTCGACGCCGCCTTCAGTCAGTTTCTCAGTCCTGGAGGGCAGATCCATGTCCTGGTGAGCAACGCGGGGATGGTCGGCCCCATGGTGGCCGTGGCCGATGCCCCCGGCGAACAGGCCCTAGACGCCATCCAACAGAACCTGCACGGCGCGTGGTGGGTGGCGCAGGCGTTCTTACGCTGCGCAGCGCCCGGTGCCGTCGTCATCGAGACCTCCTCCGGCGCGGCCCACGTGAACCTCTGGCCTGGGTTAGCCCCGTACAGCGTCGCCAAGATGGCGGTGTTCCGGTTGTGGGATGCGGTCGGGTTCGAGAATCCAGGGTTGCGCGTATATCATGTGCAGCCCGGGGTCGTGGACACGGCGTTGAGCCGCGAGGCGGGGGGCATCGAGACACTCGGATTTGAGGATAATGGTATGTTCCTGCTTTTTCTTTCTTTCCCTCTTTTGTTCATTTTCAATTTTCTCTTTGTTCCACCTTTATTTCTCTTCGTCGACCACAAGATGAGAAACTCCGGCTCAAGAAGAAAGGACGGCCGGCTGACTTGGTAATTCTCTTCCGCCTACAGTGGATCTACCTGCGAGCTTCTACGTCTGGCTGGCCAGCTCCGAGGCGCAGTTTCTGCAGGGCAAGTACTTGTGGGCCAATTGGGATGTGAGCGAGCTCAAGCGGAATGCGGAGGAGATTCGCTCTACCTCGCGACTGGGCATTCAGCTGGGCGGGTGGCCGTTCGCAGATGATAGCTGGAGGCTTAATTGGGAGTCTGAGAATGTGTAAGGGTGCACCCCGGCCCCGGCCCTGGATGGCCACCTGGCAGTCCCAGGTGGGCAGCCAGGCTGAGGGCTCACTGCGGGGCTCCTAGGACTCTGCGGCAACCAACCCTCCCATCCCGCTTGCTGGAACCGGAAATTTCGCTTGTTATCCATTATTTTGCCCTGGCAGTTCTGTCTGAAGATTCTTCGTTGTGGGTAGGACGCGGAATTTCCTCTCTTCACTCTGGCCTCTCTTGCCTCGTAAATGCACCGCATGCTGGTGTGCATGGCTTCAGGGCTTAGCAGGGTTGTGGAGGCACCCTGCCTGTTGTCATTGGCGTCCGATTCCCTACTATCTATGCCTCCTATAGACAGCACAGTAATACCGAGAAAATACCCAGTGTTGGATTGTGATAAGATAGGCACTTTCGCTCCCGCTCTCCCTCCGTCGTTTAGAAAGCCTGGGACTGGGTGTCCGTTTCCAAGGAACGGCAGAATGAGCAAGCAAGCCTCGCCCTATATAAATGAGGTATGAAGCTCGTAGAGGGACTGCATGTCCAGACCATTGGAAGGTCAGTGTCACTCAAAACCACACCTCGTGTCCACGCAAATGTATATCAATGAAGTCATTACAAGACTGGTTGAACAACGTGCAGACGTTAATGTGTGTGCAGGTGGAGGGCTTAGAGGAATTAGTCGAGGAACTATGCCTGGAGTGCGCTCATCCAAATAAAAGCCATCGACTAGAACGCTTGCGGCACTTTCAAACGGATTTACGGGGCTTTGTGGGGGAGTGGGATTGGCTGGCTGACAATGTGTTGGCGCGCTACTTTCATAGTCCGTGGTCGCGACGTGAATGGGACCAACTGCGTGAGGACTTGAAGTTTATAAGGCAGTCTTTGGTTCAGGAGCTTACTGACTCGGTTCGGAACAGGCTCTACGCCCATTTTAATCGGTTCCGGGACGTGTTACGCGCTCGCGGCCGCTCAAAGCGCTTCAACGACATGCTGCAGGAACGCCTTGCCGGGTCATACCAGAGGGCCGCCAATTTGCGTCTCCCGGAAGACAACCGCGTCCAGCTCATGTGGTTCCTTCACGCAGCCTGTGAGGCTCGATACCCACGGGCCGACCCCAGGCTCCGGGTGCAGATCAGCAACCTCATCTGGCGGCGTCGCAGAGTCATTACGCGTCAATCAAGCCATCTTCCGCCCGCGACGGTCGACTTCACTCGCACCACTGAGTTTCCTCCGATCCCCGGGATCTTCATTCGGTGTCCTTACTGTGAGCACCGATTTCTATCCCGCGATCTCAGTCATTCGAAGTGGAGATGCCACCTGATGGACGACCTGCGGCCCTATCTCTGCATGTGGGCGCTGTGTCCACACACTTTCAGCTCCATTGACGCTTGGCTCAAGCCATCTCAAGGACGCCGATGCCCACCCTGCGAAGCTTCTGCCTTCATTCTTGAATGAATGCCCCTTCTGTGATGTTCCTTGCGCCGATTCCCAGTGGTCCTCGGTGGAGAAGCTGCTGAGACATATTGCAGAACGTCATCTGGAGGAACTTTTTCTGTTGGCACTTCCGGGGGGGCCGACGGATCTGTTCTCGAATGTCTTTCTGAGAGAAGGGAAGATTAGCCTGGGGCCTTACGAGGCTCCCGAGGTTCCTGAGGCTTATGAGGCTTATTATAGGCCTTTCGGGAGCCCAGAGGATGATGAAGTCGAAGAGAGTGTTGATACAGAGGAAGACGACGGCCTGACCTCTGAGGGAGTCCGCTCTTCCCGCTCCTTAATTTAGCGAAGCCTCGTGTTGGCTCTAACTACTCCGTCTCTCTTTCGAAGTGCCGGTAGAATGCACCTAGACGTTTTGTGCCCTATGTCGGGAGACAAAGCGAGGGTTGGGGAGAGCTGACACGCCGAGCTCTATTTCTTTACGATAAATCATTATTCACTCTAGTGAGATTTACTACCATTGCAGCTACCATTGCAGCGCTTTACACTCCCAAGACCTGAAAGTCATGTGTGGAGCTGGTTGGTTCCCTTGCCGGATAGCGGGACAAAAAGCCCGTGAACCTGTCCCGGTCCTCCAAACGTTCTCCGCTCCGACATAGCGAAGTACTCATTGACACAGTGGAGCGGCCCCAGAAAACCACCCCAAGCATAGAAACATGATTACAGGCAAAGGGAAGGACGGGAGGGGAGTCTGTCTCCCTAATGCCATCAACCGTGGGGATGAGCGGTCCCTTGGTGTACCCCTCCCGTCTCTACCGTTTGTACCCCCGCGGCCGCCGGCCTCTTGAACAGAGAACTGCATTTGGCCCTCACCCTTCCCGCTTTGTGACCTCCACAATAGCGGCGACCAAATGCCTTCGATGGTCTTTCAGGCTTGCAACGGCTATCGGACTCCTGCCTTTACTTTCGGTCATCCCTTTGATCTTACACAGCACGTCGCCATCAGACCCCATCAGCTGAATCAGCGGCCCCTTTCCCCGTGCGATCCCTTCTGCGAGAACCAGGACCCTCTGGAAGAGACCACATCAAACCCAATAACGTCAGCATCCCTTCTCCGTGACCCATACGAACTCCGCTCATCGACTAGGTGTGAACTGCTGTGCCGTGCCCTTCGAACTCACACGGCTGTGCTTTGCAGTTAGCCTCGCGTATTGGAGGGACGGGGATTGCGAAATATGACTGCGGTCGAACTACATTCTTCAACGGCCACACATCCGACCGACCTCAGCCCAACCCTACACCTCCTCCGAGAAAGTGCAGGGTCACACTCACTGGGACGGGCTCTCCGACCGACACTTTTCTCCTTCTTTTGTAACCTACGTAGGTCAGTCGTTCAATAACGAACCTTATTGAGGCCCCTTTCATGGCAGATCCCTTGCACGAGAAGGCATTTCCTTTTTTCATTTTGTACTTCCATCGCCACTACTACTGACTTATCACCACCACCACCACCTCCTCCTCCTCCCCCACCAGCTGCCTCGCTTTTCAATCCGTCATCCTCTCAGTGTACAGTAACTTACGCCTTCCGCAGTATGGCAGCCACCTGTACCACCCACATACAAATGAATAGTTGTGTGGGAGATCTTTGCTCAAGCACAACGAAGAGTTGGAGATTAGGAGAAGATGGGGGTGATGAAATCCCCACTTATGCCCCAGTGCATCCTCGCCGAGCCCGAATCTCTCACGCCATCAGTGCCTCGTCGTCAGTCGGTCCACCAGACGACGAAAGCTATCGTGGTGGTGGCTGTCGTTGTCGTTGTTATTGTCGTAGTTATTGTCTTCGGGCAACGCGGCAACGGACGGATGCTTGACGAGGGCCTTGGCCACCCTCCAGTACTCAACCGCATGGATGATGAACCCGGCCCGTTTCGTGCTGGGTGGATCCGACGCGCCGCGGCACAGGTCATCCCAGTGAGCCTTCCATCGGTCCAGGCCCCGGTCAACCGCATCGAAGATCCCGGGTTCGTCCGTGAGGGCATGCAGGGCCAGCAGATCGAACAGGACACATTGGAGTGCTGCCGTTTTGGAGTCAGTCAATCACGCGAGGCGAAGCTTACGGAATCAGGTCGATTCCACTTACCCGACAGAACGAGAAACGATCCAAAGACCGTGCTAGGGATGTAGGCTTCACGTTGCGGAGCGCGACCTTCGGCCCGCATCAGGTCGCGCAGGACGGATCGCACCCGGAGGGGCGCACGTGACGGCTCGCTGGAGACGGCGGCGAGATGCTCGAACTCGGGGATATCGCGGGCGTTGAACAGGTCATCCCTCGCAGGAATCGCGAAGAGTACCTCCCCGAGCCGGAGCTGGGCTGGGTAGCGGAAGAAGATCACGCAATAGCAGTCCAGAAGGTAGATGCCGGCCATGACTCTGATGCGGCTTAGTCAGTCTGGGATGCACTCGGTAGAGGGTCAGAAGCCACGAACCGAACCAGCCCCTCTCGGAGCACGTACGCGTCCCGGCCAGAGATGCGGGGAACGCAGTCATTCGCGATCCGGTTCAGGTTCAGCATGCGGATGGCGGTGAAGAGCGCCGGTAAGCGCTGCAGGCGCATCCGCCGAATGCTGTCCGGGTTCTGCTTGTACGCCTGCAGCGTCACGACGAGCATCGTGGCCTGGAGGGTTTCCAGAGTCCTGGGGTCGCTCAGGGCGTTGATGCCTGGATTCATCAAGTGCTGGAAAGACGGGCCGCTGAATATCAGGTGCTCGGTTACGCTGGAGTACGTTTCTAGATCACTGCCATTGTAAGGGGAGGTGTACACCGCTCCGAGGAGCACCATGGTCAGGATAAGAAGTATCGACGCTTCGCCCAATCGAAAGGTTGCGGGGTTGATGAAGTGATTGTGGAAGGCGTTGTCGAAAAACGCTTCAAGAAATTTCGCGATGTTCAGCGGCGTGAAGAGCTGCTTCGCTCTGTCGAAATCCACCACGTGATCTGGTGGAAGGCACTGACCATTTTGCATCAGAGATAGAATCTCGGACGACGTGTGTTCGAGCTCTCCCAGGTCAAACCGGTCCCCGGGAGCAGGGTGTAGGCTGCAGGAGGGATCCAAAGTAGCAGTGTTGATGAATGAGTTGAACAGGCTTTCCCAGGATTCTGTGACGATGTGGGGGTGGTGGGATTGATGGTTCACCGCACAACATGCGGATCTCGAGTCTGCGGGGTTGCACTGAGACAGTAGTCGGAGACTCTCGTATCGTGATTCGTGCTCGACATCAGTGTAGTGCAAGAGGAACGGTATGGACAGTTTGACAGACTGAGAGATGGGAGCCGCTGGACTTGATGTAGCAAGGCTCGCCGGCGATTGCTGGCCTGGACGCTCGTTGGGAGAGATGGATTTTCGGGAAAGGCTATGCTGACGAGTGAATGAGCATTCCAGGCCCCTTTGCAGGCAGGCCTCGCACGGGCAGTCCCCATCGCAGAATGATCGAGCTGTAGCACAGGAATTGCAAGCCGTTCGCTTTCTGCCCGCCTTGCCGGGATCGGAAGGGTTCTGGTCGCCAACATTGTGCTTGCATGTTCTAAGATGGCGACGTAGAACGTCCCTGGGTGTAGAGTAAAGTTAGACGAATCGACCCCAGTGGATCTAGGGTTATTGATACCTTCTCCGATAGGCACCACCACAGTGGTTGCAAGTGAGCTTGGTCATCGGCGCATCTAGCTAGGGTTCAGATTTGCCGGAGGACTAATGCAAAGGTGGAGTGGCTTACGGCTAGCTTCATGTCGTCGGAGGTGGCTCTTAGTGGTGAATACTTTGTGACATACACTACAAGCCACTGTAGTCTGTGGGTCGCATGTCGAAACAGTTTGAGACTTGTGATTGACTGGAACCTGGGATACCGTCGAGGGCATAGTAGCAGGAGCAGAAGTGCATGAGGGGGAAAAAAAGAAAGAGCGGAAAGAGGAAGACAAAGACGGCTGGAGGCAAGTGAAAAAGCCCAAGTGGGGTCCGGCGGGAAGACCTTACTACTTGCGGAATTCTAGTCGGGAAATCCCACATGCTAGTCGGAAAACCCACATCAGATTGTATACTACACCATCCCCTCCTACTTGCCAGTTCCATAAACCCAGCAGCAGATATTCTACAGTCCTTAGTGAGAACGTCCCTCCGTTATCCCCACAACATGCATCTGTTACGCATACGCTCTGCACGGATGATCAATTATGGTAGGCCGATCTCGAAACCGTTATGGATTGCAGCTGACCTCCCTCGTTTGGCATTCAGAAGTGGCATCCCTATGCCTTCAGTCGCGCGCGCACCCAACTCGCCTACCGCTTCCCCCTCGCGCATTCTACTCAGTCAAGTCTTTCCACCACTCAAACCATACAGAAAACAGCACCCAGTCACCATTCACCTCTCTCTCAACCGAAAAACGACCTATGAACCTAGCCGAGCACGTTCTGTACGCAACCACCCTACCTCCCTTAGGATCTCAGGGCTGACCTCCGCAAGCACCACCTTCGACCAGATCGTCAACTGGGCGCGACAGGGCTCCCTCTGGCCGCTCAGCTTCGGGCTCGCCTGCTGCGCCCTCGAGATGATGCACGTGTCGATGCCGCGCTACGACCAGGACCGGCTGGGGATCATCTTCCGGGCGTCGCCGCGGCAGGCGGACGTGATGATCGTGGCGGGCACGGTGACCAACAAGATGGCGCCCGCGCTGCGGCAGTGCTACGACCAGATGGCCGAGCCCCGCTGGGTGATCAGCATGGGCAGCTGCGCCAACGGCGGCGGCTACTACCACTACAGCTACAGCGTCGTGCGCGGGGTCGACCGCCTCGTCCCCGTGGACGTGTACATCCCCGGGTGCCCGCCGACGGCCGAGGCCACCCTCTACGGGGTGTTTCAGTTGCAGAAGAAGATGCGGCGGACGAAGGTTACCCGGATGTGGTATCGACGGTGAAAGGTGTCGCTGATGGATGGAGAGTGGGCCCTTTTTCTCCCGTTGGTGTTTGTGATGTGTTTGGTACTGTGGTGTTATACTCAGGTTGCAATGCTGAGTAGCCGGAAGAGTCACGTAGCTGGACAATTGTACTACATCTGCTTACTCGAGCTCGAAATGTTTCTGGTAGGTGACATACTAAGCTATACGAGTTGTTTATTGCACAAGATGGAATGAGAAACATTTCAAGATACAGTCGGGATTGACACATGTTGATTGAGAATGTGGCAACATTAGAGTTCGAAACAGGATCCAAAAATGATTTTCAGTAGGAAGGTAAGATTAGTCGGTAAAGCCAGTCCAGCTTTGTGGCCCTGGATCAAAAAGTGCAAACGGTAAGCAGAAGGAAAAGCCTGGGTATCATGAATCACGGCAGAGCTTTGACCCGTTCAGTACTCCGTACATTCGTATACACACCTTCAAAACCAGCCCTAACCTACCTCCGCCCACCCTCTTCCCCACACTCCCAGCACAACCCACATCCCGCTATGCACCTCTACCCGGGACTATAAATATCCTCATTCTCAATAACAAGCCGACGATCCAACCGCTTTAAAGCAGACAACCTCTCCGCAAACCGCTCCAGCGCCCCCGGAAACACCCTCGCACGGTCCTTGAACACCACCGTCTCGACATTCGGGAAAATCGTCTACATGCCCCAAAGGTCACCTTGTCAGCTCATCCGCCATGGCTATCAACCTCCCCACGAGTCGTGGGTAACGCAACGCACCGGGATCTCCCCAAACAACGCCTCCCACTCCGCATGCCGCACGCAGTACGTATCCGGCCACGACTCGAACCGCGGATCGATCTCCAGCACCTTGACCCGGCCGCCCCGCACCGGCGGCACGCACGACGACTCACCCCCTCCCGCCCCGGGACACACCAAGGTGACAGACTCCAGCCGCGGGAACTCGACCTCGCGCAGTGCGGCGCCGTACCCCTGCGCGACCGGCTCGGAGACGGTGACGAGGCGGGCGCGCGTCACCATCGCAGCGTACATCTGTCGGCGCGCGGGGTCGGCGATCTGCGCCAGGCGGTCGGGGAGGTCGTTGCTGCTGTGCGATGAGTCGAGGTCGTCGCGCCAGAGCATGGGGAGGGTCACGGCTGACCAGGGGCGGTTGACGAGGGCGCAGCGGTACAGGGCGCCGGTGCGCGTGTAGTGGTATCTGGTTTTGGGCTCGTCCGCGTCCTCGTCGCAGAGGATGTCGGAGACGGAGCCTTGCTCGTCGCAGTCATCGGTGGATGGGGTGGGGGTGGGGGTGGATTCTCGGAGTCGGGGTGCGCGCGTCGCGGGCCAGGTGTTGAGCGTGTCGGCGTGGATCCAGGCGATTATCTCCGTCAGGAGCTCGGGGAGAATGAGGGCGCGATGGCCTGCTTTTGTTGGTGTGGGTGGATTCATGGTTGAGACAGTGGTTTGGTGGTGAGTTGGTGGAAAATGGCGGCGGGCTGTATCCTTTTCAGTGGTGTTGCGATGCGTGTACATTCTGCACGATTGCACGTGGGGTCGGATGGGGCTGACGCTAACAGCCGAGTGAGTCACACAATATGTTAAGCTTGGACCACTATAAGGTTGGCTTGTATAGAGCTTAGCTTGTGTCTGTGTTATCGGGGGCCCGCATGGCTTACACAGCGGCTGCATTACGGAAGACTGCATCGCGCGTGGCGCGACGGGTGTAGGCCGCAGATGGCGTAGTGGTAGAACGTCGTCGGCTAGGCTGCGGGTGACAGTAAGACTTGGGGCCCTTATCGAGTCCTGGAGCCTTTGGATGTAAATCCTGTTGCAGCAATATTTTCTTCTCAAAAGGCACCTATTTTAGTAGACCCCTGGAGGAGCCGGTTTGATCTCATGTATGTTAGAGCTGGAAACAATCCGGCGTGTTCAAAGTATTTGGGAATAGTTCCATTTTAATTCGGCACCTGTATAGCTAGTATACCCAGAGCACAGGTTCTATAGGTTAATAGAACTATTATTTTTGTCATCATCGCGGGTGTATCCATGCATCGGATCACCGTCTCCGATCATAGTGCGGTGTATGTGGGTAGCCGACGGAATCATGTTAGGAGCCGCAATGACGTCGAAGGACTCGGAATTCCACTCTTTGGAGATATTCAACAAGGAACAAAGCCCAAGGGATCCGCTTGTATTGTCATATAGGTCTGTCACGCCTTAAGTGAAGACAGCCTGTAAAGAGATTCGGACAAAGGAGGGATTTTAATCATTACAAGAACAGAAAGCTATCGGTACAGAGAACTTTTTCGATCTCGAAAAATCCAGTGTGGTGCCTGGACCAGGATCTATTTCAGGCACCGGGCGCTCCGCGCCGGGGCCCCGATGTCGTATCTGAGCGAGGCGCTGTCGCGCTTGAGCGGGATCGCCTCCTGAGCACAGCTCGGCTCGCTGTAGTAGAATTCGAGGCGTCAGTATCAAGTCAAAGCAAAGAGAATCGCCCAACCTGGACGTCAGTTAAACCCGTACCGATACAGTTGGCATGTCATGCCAGGAATCAGCTCAACAGAATTGATAACACCTGCGGGTCTATACACATTGACGTTAGCACCACCTCCACAACTGTTGAAGAGGACTGCTCCTACGTCGTAATACAAGATCCATCCCCATTGCTGTGGACGTAAGGTCCGAGGAAGTGGTCCTGGGCGAAGAGTCCAGCCTGCATGGATGTTAGCCTCGTCGCAACAATTTTCCGGTGGAGGTCCACTAACCTGGGTCGAGGAGTAAGCCAAAGCGGGAACAATGGCAACCAAGGAACTGGACAGGAAGAGGGCGAACTTCATCTTGGCGGTGTTGGCGGTGGTGGTGGTGGCGGTTGTCGACGTCGATGCGATTGATGATCTTCAATCTACCACATGCAATCGGCGCGGATTTATAGCAATCAGACTAGGAGTGGTCTCGTCGCGAAGCCTCGCGGTCTGTTTGTGTTTTGTCGACCGCAAATGGAAGTATGCAAATCGCAATTTGGTCTTCATACTTTGTGTCACATAGACCAAAACCAAGGGGGACTTTTGGGCCGCACATGGCTCTAGGGAGATCAAGGAACTGTGCGGAAACAAACTCCCCGCCCTACCAAGCCGACTTTCCGTGGTTGATTATGGTATGTAGCATTCCGATCGGGGTTGCCGATCCCTTGCTCCTGACCTATGAAGGGCTGCGCAGGTAAGGAATTCTCCGGGACACGGAGTGTTATCCGAGCAGTACATGTGTGTAAAGTTGATTGTTTTGTATCTGCAATGGAAAGCAAAGACACCGTATAGATTTGGTGGCATGTGATCGCTGTGTATGGGTGGCAGAAATGACTGGGGCTTTTTCTGTGGCCGTGCAAGGATACGGTATTTTTGACCAAAACGAGGGTGAGGATTGTAGGGGGCGGAGGGATGGAGTGGTAAGAAAACAGCTAGACGGATCTCAATCAAGGATTCTACAATCGAAGAGCAACTTCAACTCGAAGTCTCCTTCACCCTATTGGCATCCAAGGTTTGTCTTAATTCAGCCAGGGAAGGGGTGGATTTGCCCAAGAACAACCGACCCAAGATTGCGGTACCCGGTGCAAATCTGGTGGAACCCTTCTTAGCCTGGTGGCCTGCATATCGTACTTTCCTCGACACAAAAAGACTTCCTCACTACCTGCTCGCCAACAAAGGCTCAGTTTCCCCTGCGATCGCCTCCAAAGTGCCGACCACAGCACGTCTCCGCGCCGCCAGCAAGAACAAGAGCCCCTGTCCGACCGCGAAAATTAGACTGTCCACCGCCGGCCACCCCACCCACAGGAACCAGGCATAGACCAACGGCCAAGACAGCGGATAGTCTTCTGGGAAAGGTGGACAGGTGACCCGAAATGGCCAGGTCCCCGCGAGCAGCAGAAACACAGCCGCCTGAGCACCCAGCCCCCGCACACTGATGCCACTTGGGTGCTGGGGCCCTGAGCGAATCAAGGTAACCACCTGACACAGAAACGCCCCCAGACCTAGCCACGGCACCGCCGGGTTGACGTACAGAAGATGGCAGCCGCTGAAGATCGCGTGCGTGAGATCGGCGTCCGGGTCTTGGTAGAGCAACACGATGAGCAACGCCCCTGGTGCGAGGGAGATGGCGAGGAAGATGCCGTAGAGAGTTGCCGCGTAGATCTTTCGTCTGCGGGATAAACCCGGGGATGGGTACCAGAGACACATGCCAAATCTTGGGGGTCAGTTCTGGTGTGTCAAAGTCTGGAGTGGCTATTAAGCCTTAGAGAAAATTCAACCAGTCGCACTGCTTACTGGAGAACGAAAAGCACCCAGACAGTGGCGAGTTGGCAAAAGTTCGCCCCAGGACTTGGGGTTTTCGATGAAGAAGTCTGCGCCATGGGGAAGGCTGATGTAGATCAGACCGACGAGGAGCTGTTCCGTGGCGCAGATGGTGTTGAGGACGACGAAAAAGAGCGACAGGCCTGAGGTGTCCTTGCTGGAATGGGTGAGCTGCAGTTGAGGGGGAAATGAGTAGACGGTCAGGCCGAGGCCAATGCTAGTGGGCGCAGTCTGTTAGTCTGCACGCGATTCCGGCACGGTTCGGATCTACATGCGAAACACGTTATGCAGCATCGGAGAGGTCGATCTTGTCACCCAAGCGGCCGGTTATCATTCGCCTGGATTGCCGTCGCACTCCACCACAAACAGGGTCTTGAATGCATGGATAATGAACGACACATTTGACACCCTAGACTATATCATAACCTATCAGTCCGCGGCAACGCGGCGCGTGATGTCTACACTGGGCGATATATTGTTGACGAGGAAGGTTTGGTCCAAGGCCATGGTTCTCTATCCCCAGGACAATCTCCTGGCAGACCGACTCATTTTTTGGCCTTCTACCGGTCAAAGACAGAGTCCTATGGTTTCACAAGACAACAAAATACGTAGGAAAAGAAATCCGGAGCAGGACTGCGAAGAGCCGGAAGCGAAAGCGCCCGGGTGCTGGAGAAAAGTTCTAGCCGGCGGCCGGCCGTTTTCTGCCTCTGCCTTCCGCTCGGGGCGGATAAATTATGCATACAGGATCTATTTTTAGCCCACATGCTTTCACAGGGCTTCGTAATCACATAACGTTACACACAATTAGTCAAGTTGATCCGACCAAAACGTTTATTCTTGTACTCGAGTGGCCATTGTGTCACTATAGCTCAGTGGATCGGTGGTTATGCCCCGTCGATATCACCATCTGAGCCCAAGTAACGTGACTCTACTTGCACCCAGACTCTTTTAGACATTACCCCACATTCCCTCGCATACCATATATATCTCACGTCACGCGGACTTCGTCAACAACATTGCCCTGTGAGTGCTGAGTAGAACCACCGTCCCACAGTGGCAACCCCAGCACGTCAGCTATCCCCTTGCCGAACGTTAAGGTAACCGTGTTCTATAAAAATCCCATCACAGCCACCACGAACCAACGGCACCCCCTTCCCCCCACCGGATCGTCAAAGATCCGACCCTGCAGATCCGGCAATCTGTTTCAGCTGGGATGACACCATTGATGATTGATCAGCAGCGTTTACCCCACACACATTCATCCACAGCCCCAGGCACAGTACACATCATGTCCGTTGATCATGGATCCGAGCAGGGGTGCGGACTACGTAACCGTAGTCGATCATTTCAATCCTCAGTAGGTATACCTTCTCCAGCACTATCACATGAGCACCCCAGGACCGGGCCCATCCTCAATAGCTCCAGCGCCTATCCGTGACTTCACCGGTAGTCTCGAAGTCATAAACCAAAGAACCAAGAATAGCACCTGCATAGTATGGAGTAGGGATACTCTTTTTTGCAGACAACTAGTTAACTAACCACAATGACTCAGTAATCCAAGCCCGCCGGAATAACCAACCACAAGCGAGGGGCAATCCTGCCCCGTGGCCCCACTCGTGCGGCCAGAATCCCGGAAGAACGAGACTCCGATTGGCAAGTGGGATTTACCCGCGGCGATCCGGCCTCGCCAGTTTGCTGGGGCTGGATGGACTCCGCCCCGTGGCCGACCGATCGATCGACCCGGTTGCGGGTTCCAGCCTCCCCCCCTTCTCCCCTTTCCCCTTTTGTGGGATGTGTGGCTTCGGGAAGGCTATTTCGGGTGATGATTGATTTACTGAGTCTCATGTTATAGAAGGTCTAGAATCGTTGTGGCTTCGTATTCGTAAATTTGCATAGGAGGTCTGCTTAGTGGGGATCTAGGTGCGATCGATGATTGAGCTTGGGATTGGGGTTTTTGATGACCAGCAGGAGAAATAATGTGGTATTTGAAAGTATATTCTTCATTATTGGTTCGTCCCTTGCACGGCAAGGGGGAAGGTCTGATCTATGATCTATAGGACGTGGACGCTCTAGGTGGTATATTCTAAGAACAGGAGTGAACGCTAAACAGGATGGATGACGCCGAGATAGTGGAACAAAGGAGACAGGATACAAAAGGAGGAGGAGAGTCTTTTGGGCCGTGATCTTGAAGCTCTGCTTCATTATGGAGGAGGAGAGGGATGACGAGGAGAGAGGAAAGGTGAGCGAGCGAGAGGATAGATAGATGAGGTGAAGGTGGTCTGTCCGAGACCATGAGGATGCTCAAAGCTTTCGATCGGATGAAAGCGCGTCAGTAGCTGTTGTACGGACGGGACATATGAGTGATCCTATGGAGGAGTCGGTCTGGATTGGAGCAGACGGATTGCCGATGGAGTCGGAGGTGGAGAGACACCGGATACGGCGTGGTTCCCTGGGTCTGGTGAAGACCGGTAATGGGTGGTTGGGGATTGATTGAGTTGATCAAAGGCGATGAGACGGGGTCGAGAACGAGTGAAGATCAGGTAGGTTGAGTTCAACAGGCGACAACAGGCACTCCAGATTGAGACCAGTGCACACTGCCACTCCGGCGGGAGAAGATCTTCTCCATGCACCGGCGGCCCTTGTCGAGGAGGCTCTTCTTCTCAGTGGGCTCCGGGGCCCATTTGATAGACGGGGTCTTCACGGCGGTCGACTTGACAGCGGCCGACTTCATCGGGGCAGGAGCCGCGGACGAGGGCTTGGAGCCGCGGCGGGAGCGCCGGGGCGGGACGGGCAGGTCGTTGTCGAGGTCATCGTCGCTGTCGCTACCCATGGAGCGGATGTGAACTTGGATGTCCCGCTTGACGAGCTCCATGGACTTCTCATGGACGCGGGCGTGGCCGAGGCACCGGCGCAGATCGGGCTGCTTGGCGCTGCTTTCGTGTTCATACTTCTCGCCGGAAACGAGGCAGAGGTGGAGATGGAGCGAGGATTTGGTCGCGAAGGGGGAGCGACGCTGAGGGCGCACAGGGGGAGGAGGGGTCGGTTTGGTGAAGAGGAAGGAAGAGGTGTAGGACATTGTAGGTTGGGATTGGGTGGGTTGGTGGTGGGCGAGAGACTCGATAGTGGTGGTGTGTATGTACGCAGGCACTACTCCGTCACCCAAAGGGCGGGGAGAGTCAAGGTGAATTGGTGTTGGTCTAAAGGGGGAAGGAAACGTAGAGCTGCTTGCTTGGTTGACACTTTTTTTTTCCTTTCCATGATTGCCGGACCTTCAGAGTCTATATAGGGTGCCAGGGGAAGCAAAGCCAGCTTGCGATAAGAAAAGCGCGAGTAGGTCATGGGGTGAGCAAAAGTCTGCTTGCCAGGGCTCTAGAACTTCCCCCGGTGGATCAGTAAGTGGATCCGCCCATCAGTGGCCGACTGTTCCAGCCCTGCCATCAGGCCGACAAACCCCTCGACCGCCACTGCCCAACTGACAAAATTGCTCAGGAACCACTCGGTGACAATGGATCATGAAACGTTAATGATATGATAATGCACGGCCAGGGCCACTGCCAATCAGCGAGTGGTTTCACGCCCATGCGATACAGGCACACAGGCACAGGCAGGCACCGGGTGTGATAGACTGATAGCAAAGACCTCACCAGCCAGTGAATAAGGTTCCTTACACTCGAAGAGGGAAAGATGTCCGTGCACGGGCACGTGGGTCAGATAAGCGATTCATAATGCATTCGGTGTTCATTTTTTTTTTATTTTTGGGGCCGGGTGGAGCACTCTCTGTGTGTGGCTTTGAAACCTGGAAGTCTCGAGCATCGACGCGACAGCTCGATCACCTTCACAACTCACCAGGTGTACGAGTCTTTGGCCCCGAGTCAACGACTCCACCACAGTAGCGCTGACGTTCCCTTTGCTGGTGCCCCTCCTTCCCCCCTCCCTCCCTCTCTTCCTCCCCCTCTATTAGATGGTGTCATCAGAGTGGCAATTTTCAGCGGCCAGATTGACACTGACTCACTGAGTCACCGCCATTCACCACCGACTGGGTCAATTGACGCGATCCTGGTGCGTAATTTCTTCTAATTGCGTCCTGTGCCTGGACCAAGGACGATTCCATGAGAGTCTTAGATTGAGTGATGGCGTCAGAAAGCAGAATCCATCCCACCATTCTCAATCAATAGTGTGTGTGATCTGTGAGGGTGATGCATTATCAACTTCGGGATGGGAGAGGTGTCAATCAATCCTCGGACCGGCCAACGGAATCGGCCCCCCGATAAGAAACCGGTTTAGCGTGTCTGGTGCAGCTCGCAAGCTACCTGCAGCAGGAGAGTTTCCGATCAGCAGATCGACACTCGCTCAACCGTACTTCCCTGCTTGAGATGATTTGGTTTCTGCAATCTGCAGCCCGCAGCCTGCAGCCCTCCGCTGGTGGCTTATAATTCGGTGCACCTCCCCTTCTTCTATATTTTGTGATCTGTATTATCTGTTTGTCTGCATGAACCACCCTTCGATTACATTTTATTCATAATTCCCATATTCCGCCGCCAACTCCGGTCGCAAAAGCCAAAGAAAAAATAAAAATAAAAAAGCCACATTTCCTCCCGCTTACCGTCGGCGTGGCACCAACGGGTTATGTAAGCCACGCGCACAACGCTGGTTAACTTGCCATCATCCATCCTTCGCATCGCTTCAACTTGACTGACGGCGACACAACCTGCTCCTTTGGGCAAAAGCAGTGGAGGAAAGTGATGACTCGAGTGGGCAGGTGGCTTGCCATTGCCCCTCCTCCCTTCCTCCCCGGTGGTCAATGCATCGCTTCTATTGCTTGGATGCGTGATTTTTTTTTTCTTCTCTTGTGGCCTGCGAAACTCTATCAGCGGGGAACAAGCAAGCCTTTAAGTTATACTCCGTCCTCCGTAGAGACACTATCGACAGTCGGCACGCCACATACGGACGTTTTCTCTGGTTCCGTCAAAACCTAGCTAGTAAGCTCGTGTGAGTCGATGGCGATCTAGAACGAGTCTATTTTTCCTGCATTGCTGTGGTTTCTGGTTGTGCGCAATGCGACGGCGGCTAGTGCTGTGCGGTGTCGTGCTAGTTCTTCAATCTTCACACCGTAACTTAAGGTCTACTACGTAGTCTGACTGCTGCGCAAAGACGCACCGGAGGTCTGAGCTTAATCCCCCCCTTCTCCTACCCCTACCCTCCCCATCCCCCTTTCCATGCTCCCTTTGACTCCTGCGTGCCCAATCACCGAGATTGCGATGCCCACGCGGATGGCGTCGCCTAAATTGCGATTGCAGCGGGAGGGTCGGGAGTATCATGGATCAACGGTCGGGATTCCTGGCCTCTGGCCCTTTTCCTCCCTATCTGACCGCGCAGCAGTGCCAAACCCGGGCTTGGGTGTTCAATTTCTTGATTCTTGTCTAGAATGTGGAGTGGAGTTCACCCGTCGGGTACTGGATGCTCTAGAAGGTGGATGGACCCTGAGGGTTAGGTTATGCCTAGTCTACAACTCTGGACTACGTACCTAGTTCACAGAGTCGATAGCTCCGCGTGTTTGGCATTATGCAATCGAATTGCCCCTCCCCTCCCCTCCCCTCCCTCCCCTTCCCCCTCCACCCTTCATCCGTGAATCTGTTCACATGACTCTCAGCCAAATTGATCGCATTCCTGCATGCATATATACCCCCATCTGCCTGCCTGCCTGCCTGCCTGCCCCTCTTCGAAACATTTACCCAATCCCACCGAAGAACAAAGCAAAAAGCCGGAGATCTCTTAATTCGCTGCGCCTGACAAGGCAAGAATCCCGAACTCCAGGGTTTGCTTTTTCGCCTTTTTTTTTTTTTCGCCTGCCGGCTTGGCTGGCTGGTTTCTGATTCGGATTGTTGGCGATAAGCCACGGCCACTAGACCCGAACCGGAGATCCCGGATCTCGGAGATCAGCCGGCGCCCATGGATTGGGATTGTGGTTGGTGTTACTATCTGTCACCGGCACAAAACCAAAAAAAAATCCAACGAAAAGGAAAAGTCGTTGGCGGAGTCTTATCAGTATACAATAAAGCTAGCCTTTGGAAGGGATGGATCGATTATTCCATCGCCCAGAGGTTGTCGAATGTCCATGCGGCGGGATTGCCGAAGAAGAATTCGTCGAGGGAGAGGTCTTCTTGGCTGAAGGTTGGCTGTTGTGTGTTGATTAGTTGGGATGTTCTGATGTTTTCTTCGAAAAAGGGGTTGGGGAAAGGTGCGAACTCACTCGGGATAAGTCCGGGTCGAGGAGAGACGCTCCGGTTAAGTCCGGGGGCAGATGGAGCTGGGCGGTGGTGTCGGGCGGGTTCATCTATGCGACCGTTAGGGCACTCGCCAACACAACCTTCATCTTCCACTTATTCTGGGAGAATGAAAGGGAAGGCGACCACTCACCGTAACCAGCCGCATCGGGAACAGAAGCTCCTTGGCCTTGCGCAGATCCTCCTGATGCGCCAGCACCCGATGATACTGCCGCACCACCTCGTAGATCGCCTCCTCCTTCTGCACCGCCGGGTGCGCCGGGTCGGGGATCCGCGACCGCAGAAACGCCGCCGCCGCCGCGATGTACCAGTAGTGCGTGTACCCGGTGCCCAAGCGGGTGGTCTTCTCCTCAAGGAGATGCAGGACCGCCTCGATGTAGTGGATCAGCGTGGTGCTGTTGGATTGGAGGAGGATGTTATCTTCCCTGCCTTATCAGTCTGTTTGCTCCTCGACGTTTCAGATGAAAGATGGGGCTGACGTACCGTGCACGCTGGCAGCGATGTACATGTTATGGCAGATCACCAGCGCGCTCTTGAAGTAGTCGTGGCGTAGGAGCAGCAGGAGGTGGTTCCCCGCCTCGGTGAGCTGGCGGTGCTGGTCGATGAGCCGGAACGCGGCGTTGAAGCACACCATCCGCGAGAGCGAGTAGCGCGGGTTGGTGTCCGCCTGGCGTGCGAAGGGCGCATGGAGCAGGATGAGGAAGTGTCGGAGCTGGATGTCAAGCAGCGCGCGGGGCAGGGCTGGGTTACGCCCTCGCCCTGACGCCCCCGGGGTGCGGGTGTCGTTGTCGTCGGGCCACGGGGGCAGTCGGTGCAGCGCGGCTGTGATCCGCTCCTCGCTGCGGAGCACCTCCTCGTACACGGACTGGGCGTGAGTGTCGTTGACGAGGGAGTTCAGGGCGGTGCGGAGCGGGAAACTAGACGCTGCAACCCGCAGGAACGAGCACGCCGTGTATACCTCGGCCGGCTGGGAGGGCGGGAGCGCCGCCGCGTCAACCGCCAGCGCCTCGTCATCGATGTTCAGCGGCGGCGCGGTGTCCGAGGTCAGCGCCGCGCCCGCGGACGGCATGCCGCGGTCCGTCGAGATCTGCAGCTCCAGCTCCAGGATCGTCGCCCACAGTCGCCGCCGCATCTCCAGGTCGAAGACCGACACGCGGTCACCCAGGATGGTCGGGTCGCGGTGGAAGCCGGCCGACATGGCCTCGCGCACCAGCGTGCCCGCCGCCGTCCACGTGCGCTTTTTCTTCACCACGTTCACCATCTTCGCCACCAGCAGCAGGCACCGGATCTGCCAGATCGCCAGGTAGATGTGCTTCTGGCTCTGGCGGGGCAGCCACGCCTCCGCCGCCTCGATCCACAGCGTCGCGCGCTCGCGCGCCATGGCGCTGTCGCCGATGTATTTGGGCTGTTGCTGCTGCTGGGCCGGCGGCGCCGCAAGACAGCCCACGCACGCGAGCACCAGCATCAGCGTCACGACGAACGCCGGCCGCGCGGCGCGGCTGTCTTCGCGGAACGTCTCGTACTCCCGCATGAAGCTGGGGTAGTGCAGGATGCGGTAGATGGTCTCGAAGGTGTCGAAGTAGAGGTGCACATGGGCGTCCATGGTCTCCGGGTCCGGGAGTAGCCCGACGAGCTCCCATTCATGCTGCGGCAGCAGGTCCGTCCGCATGCCCTTCCATTTCACCTGCAGCGCCTTCAACTCCCGCTGCAGGCTGGGCAGGGAGGTGCGCTGCATGATCGTCTCCTTCATGAACGATCGCAGCTCGGGGAACTATCCCCAGCATGAATCAGCAAGCTTTCTTGCACAGTGACGAGTAAAAGAGGAATACTCACATGAGAAATCAAACTAATCGGATTCGTGCTCCCGTAGTAATGCGTCTTGAAGTTCTCGCCCCGCAGAATCGTCGTCTGCACCCGCAACCGGTCCCCGCCAGACCCCGGGGGCCCGATCCCATCATCATGACTATCGTTGTTATCGGCAACGTTACTGCGGATCGACGGGCGCTCCTCATTGATCCCCGTCGCCGACGACGACGCCCCGAGTAACTGCCAGCTCCCTGCGTTCTGCGGCGCCGCTAGCGATATTACCCTCGTCTCGGGGGATGCCTGATCTACCG